AGGTAACGTGCGAACCACCTACTTCGATCTCAAAGTTACCGCCACAAATAAAGACAGTTTCCATTGGAGAAAGGAATCAAAAATTCTTGTATTGTGATGAAGACATAAAACAATTTTGAGGAATACGCCCGCTGTTCACTGCTTTGGAGTAGCTGTAACTCAAGCTGACTTGACTCTAAGTGTTCTACATCACACGACGGTTGATTGAAAAATGGTCCAGTGGGACATAAGGCTCCTTTTCTAGGACGCCTTCGCGTTTAAACAAAGTTGTGCGAACAGCTCATCATTCCAAAGTTATGCCTTGGAAAGTTGGATTGTCCGATTATTGATATGCTCTTCATCGGACACAAGAAACTCCAATTTATTTTATGATCATTAGCACCCTCTCCACGGTGCATTGCGATTTTAATCACATGCACCTCGACTTTCGTACCCTTTTCATGATAACAAGCCCGCATAATATGACTTACACGAATTTCAGGTCATGGAGTCACCGATCATCATCATCTTCAACTGCTTTTTAAATGAGAATCCCTTTTGTAAGAATAGTAAATATTCTGGAATTTGAACTTGTGGAGAATTTCAATATATTGTTCATAAAAAAAGAATAGGTTTTTCTTTCAAAAAGGTAAGTGCAAAGGAGCGTACTGAAGACTTATAAGCATAGGCACTTTTGTAGTCACCTAAAGGAACTAAGTAACCTTCTGGATTGAGGTTGTTGTGCTCCCTGGATCTTTTATTTTTCAGTCACTTATTTCTGATCAGACTGATTGCCTTATTCTGATCAGATTGATTGCCTTATTCTTTCTTAAAAAGTATGCTGAAATCACTCGTTGAAACTGTTGCAAAGCGGCAACTTATTTAAGGAGGCCGTTATTGACACAACGGCCCTGGTAACCTGAACAGTTTTGCCAAAGATTTGAAACATCCAACCACTTCTCGATTACTCTGTCAGATAAAAATTGCGTGGATGCTGATTGGTTCAACGTGACTCAATCGCCTGTTGAAACTGGTGGAAAAAATCGGGCTTCTTCTGAATCGGGATTCTTTCCGTGGAGATGAAAACTCAAACATATACACGGCAAAGTTTTCTGTGCGGCTAAGTCAAAAAGGTATGACAAGTGTTTTTATCAAGTAACGTTCGTCAATACACAATTAAATCGTCACTTTATTGTACATTATTTACATATTAATTGTAGAACATACCACTGTGGTACAATGCCATTACAATCCGTATAAGATAACCAACCACCAAGATTGGTGCGGAAGACAAATATTTGCAAAAACTTCTTAGTCATCGTCACCGACATAAAACGCCATAACGTTTCCAGGGAGTGCATAATTGTTCTGAACCGCAATATCACTGCGAAATCGTACGAAAAACGAACTGCATGTCAAACTCACCTGTTCTGGTCAAAGCTTAAAGAAGTAGTAAGAAATAAAAAGGATTTTAAATTATATAAAAGTTGATGATATTTTAAATATTCCGCTCAGGAATACGGAGAAAAACAGACGGAACTCTTATAACTATGTTCAATCAAGAGGATCGCGGTTGGTCAAGCGTTTCGCTGCCAATCTTTGAAATTGGTCAGAAAGAATCACATGACTACAAAGCTCTCATGAGCAAATACAGAAAGAGAGCAGTCTGAGAACGACTCACCTCTGCTTGTAGGTGGCCTGGTGATGCAAACTGGCGCCTCACTTCCTTCATTTGCAACTGAAATATTTCAGTGAAGTTTGAAACGATTACTGTTGTTGTTGGAATTCCGTTTGTATTGAGTTTGGAGAGTAACACGTAAACTTCTGAGAAAGCTTCTCTCTCTTTAGCTTTACATGGGATTTCAAATACATGCATATAATTGCACGCATCAGTGAGTTCCTCATGATAACCCTTGAAAAGCTTCTAAGGGTTTTAAAGTTTGTCAATTTTTTTAAGGCCTGACGAATAAATTTCCATTTTTTTATGGCAAACCATAACATATTTACCAAACCAAACCATATTTACCAAACCAAAACCACATTTTCGTTTCACCATCAATTTTTTCAGTTCTATGATTAACCTCGTAGGACTTGAAGACAGAAAATATTTCCAGAATTTAAAGATTCTTTGCTATCTCTTAATTCGTACATAGCCCATTTGTTGAAAACCAAGAAAGGAAAACAAACTGAGCTTGTTATTAAGACTACTTTTGGCTGAGTTTGTTGGCGCAAGTCCATTTTTTTTCATTAATTAATCTACGCTGGGAATTGAGGTTCTCAAGAGGGGGATGGCTTTGAAAGGTAACGGTTAACAAATTTTAGCCATTTTACGGCTACAGTAAACCCAAAATGATAGAAAATACTTTAAAGGTTAAACTCTTAAATAAAAGTTAAAGTTTGTCAATTTTTAGGCCTAACAGCTAAATGTTTTGGCCATTTTACGGCTAACAGTTGGCAACCCCATCATTGAGACCCTTGGAATGCGGAACACGACAATAAACGCCTAACGGCTCAATTTTTGAGCCGTTTTACAGCTAAAGGTTAACCCCATTGAGACCCTCAGAACACTGAACACGACATTAAATCTCCACTGTTTCTTAGCAAATCTTAGGTGCTCTAAGAAGACATGTACCACTTTCTCTTTAACAATTTCTAATAACGCTTTGTGTCCAAATCATTAATCTTTCGACTCTTTCATCATTACAGTCGATAATATGGGAAATTTATTGCAAGGTACTAATAAAAAATTAATCTTTCTACAGGTAGATCTGGTACAGTAATCAATTGAAAGTCCTAACATAGATAATCAATGCATTGTAGTAAAAAATAAACATCGGCTCATCACCCGGGGAGTGAAGGATTTTTTTTTTTTTTTTGGTGGGGGGAGGGGGATTCACAAGGTTTTTATGGGGGTAAGCATAGACGGGGGAATAGTTGTGGCCACTAGCGTATAAAGGGAAACTGTGCAAAGTTGACTGCCAATTAACTGCATATGGGGGGTCGGGGGAGGGATCATAAAAATATTTCAGAGCCTATGGAAGGACCAAGTAAATTTTCTCGTCACACAACCAAGCATGCGCTTACCCCTACTCAAGTTTCCAAAATGCCCTTTGCGTTGTTCGTTGGCACAAGCAAACATCTTTGATATCTTAACAGTTTCGAAAGTGTCCGTAATCGATTTGTGACTTCTTTCATTTTTTTCGGGCACAGTCTAAAATCTCTCAGCCAGCATTCGATTGGGTCCCGATAGACAAAATCAATTCATGTCTAATTTCCTAGGCGCGCTGTCTAGTTTGATGGAATTGCTACAGTTGATAAGTTTCTCGAACACAGGCTGGAGCTGTTCAAAAAAGCTTTTATAACATATTATTCCGCCAAGCGCGATGTAAATATAAGAGTTTGTGAAAAGATCACGAGATACGTTAGGGATATTTTTGGCACCAAAACATAAAAGGGGGCTGCCCCCCACATTTTTGTTTGGAGGCTTCGACCTTGTGTCCCCCTCTCCTCCTGGTTCGCCGCCTATGCATATAAATTTCATGGCTCCCTTTTGGTGGTGAGTTAACAATAATCTTTTCTTGAAAGGTAATGAAACTAATCTTAATATGACAGATTATCGGAAAAAAATGTTTCCAAGGAATACCGGGCAGGTCGAACATTACGTTAATTTCCTGCTAACTCACAAGAAACGTAACCTTGTCTATTTTTCTCTTTTGCCAGCAAGATTGTCCATCTTACCGAAATACGATAAGATGTAAATCCTCAAAGTTCATAATACTCCAAACAATTACTTAGTACAAATGTGCTGTGAATGTACTGACGTTCGCTACATAGATGAAGACAGATAAAGGAGTGGCCTTTGTACATCAACAGGAAAATGCCAGTGCCGCCTTAGCCTCTGTGGTTGCCTCTTGTCGCACATGATGACGTGAAAGAATAAACGAAAAAACTGCGACAGGACCATAAAAGACAACAAAAGAAGGAGACATGCTGGTACAACTCCAAGTAAAGCGAGCTCAATCCACTGAAGTACTTCGAACACGCTTTTTATTGGACCACCGATTTCTGTTCCTGCGGATACTAGAGTCGCCTCAGCCAAGTTAGAGGTAGAGATGATGACCAGAGCGATAAGAGAAAATGTTTCGCAAGCGTTGGCCATGGGGTCTCTGAAGGGCCTCTTGTACAGATGATGCAACAGAATGGCCATGCATGCAAAGGTGAGACATAAGAGACGCAACATAGGATCAGCTATGAAGGAATGTAGACACAAGAGAACTAAACGCCGCGCTATTAAAACGCTTTCCCAGTACAATGCCCCTTCGTCGTCTCCGCTAGGTGGTCGAAATGGTTCGTGAAGCACTTCTTTGATTTCTTCAGCTTCTTCAAAGTGTTCATGTGAAGGTTCCTTTTTGATGCAGAATCGAATGGCCCAGTAACATAAGAACGGTAAGGGCAAGAAACAAGCCGCGGTGAGTTCTTTGGTCGACACAAGGTGTTCGTTCAATTTCTTTGAACCCCAGAATAGGACGAAAATAAAAGGAACGACGAACACCACGATGAAGGAAAGCATAGCATGCTGCCACCATTGCCAGCAAAGGATGTTCCCATCTTGAAAAAGATGCCATTCTGATTTCACTTGGATACAGTTCATCAGATTTAAGGACACATCTGAAAGCTTTTCATAACCAAGAAGTAAGGTTTCTACTGTAGCTGCCAGATATAGATTGACACCTGGATGGTCAAGGCAACCAAAGTAACTCATTGTTTTATGACTGATGCAAATCATCGAAATACAAGCAATTGTTCCAAAGACTGTCAAACTGGAAAACAGTCGTTTTGTAACTGCTGTGAGCCCAGGAAAAGGCCAACCAAATTGTTCGTTCAAATTCTCAAAATTCAAAAGAGATATGAACGGGCGTACAAATGTCACTGTGTTCATCAGACCTTCAGGTGAGGTGGAAATTAGAAGCAATTCTACAGTCTGGTAGAAATAAAAGATCGTTTTCACAAGTGCATGATCAAAGTGCTACCCATTACAGTGCTCCCCTTCCGCGGACTGAAAAGACTGTGAAGACTGACGTTCATGATTTTTAGGTCGAAACCACACAGCATTCCGCCATAATATTTGAAATATACAAGGACGTGTAATGAGAAGGAATGACAAGCAAGCAACGTATAAGAAACTAAAGAACCAAAACCAGTTGTTGTGGCAGTTTTCCTCTTCTTGACATTCAGAAGAAAACATCGCTTCAGTGTAGCCTTCTCTGCATTGACCACAGAGGAAGCCATTTCTGTAACCATGGCAACTATTGAAGCTTCCTGGACTTGGTTCGCAATATCCCAGAGGACAAATCTCAAATTTCACGGTTGGTCGATGATCTTCTGGCTCAAGATATCCCCAAAAGTTTGGTTTTGCTTCGATCCCATGAGTGCAGTTGCCTCCATAGGGACAGGGGATGCATTTTTCGTTCACTGAAGAATCAGGAATTACGTACACTCGCTGAAGATTATATAATCCGACGGAGCATTTTTTGCAAGTAGGATTGTATGTATCTTCTGTGGGTGAGCCTGAAAGGCTAACATTAGGCGGGTTTAATTCAAGGAAATAACCCAGCGGACACGTTATGTTGGATTGTTTATCAGCATAGAGGCGTATCCCAGATCTCAGAAAAAATATTATGCTTGCATCAACCTCAACGTCTGATTTGAAACGACAGTTGGTGATATTAACAGTAGCGTTTGAGTTCACCTCAGAATAGACAAAGGCTGATGCAAAGTAATGGTGTGAATAACGCTCAAATTGACAGCTGCTGAGTGACACCAAACTTTGATCCTTGATGCGTATGTCTCCACCGAGCCCATCAACAGTATTATTAATGAAGGTAACATTCGAGAAAGTTGCTGAAGTTTGGGAAAGTGTTATTACCGAGCTGGGTACTATGTTTAAAGAGAATTTGGTGTTTTGAATATTCAACACCATGCTGCCAACCACGCTATCTCGCTCCTGTTTTTTAATCTCGGGTGAGTTAGTCAGTTTCTCGAATTTATATTTTTTGGAAAATAAAAGTGGATAGACATTGTCGCAATCTCTTATGGAATTATATGCAAAGTCTGAATTGTTGATGGTTAAACTTCCTTTTTTCGAAGAAAATAAAATCAAAGAGCGGTTGTTAAAATGAAACTGCATGTAGTTCATTAAGATTGTAACCTCACGTGCTTCAATGTCAATTACAGCTGTATGAGGGTTAACAGACTGCAATGTGCCATTAAATAAACAGTTGTTCATGTGGACTGTGACATTTCTAGGCTGACAGTTATGGTGCGTGTCATCAACTTTGATTGCAAATGACTTCATGCCAATCATTGACATATCCACAAATGAAATCGAGTCAAAACAACCGCGAAGGTTAAAGGCTGGTCCGGCGATGGCAGTGAAATTATTTCTGTCGAAAGCCACCCGTACTCTATCAACTGACGGTGGACTTGAATGGAGGTCTACTAAAGTGTCAGGATCAGAAAGCCAGTGATCATCTCGAAAATTGCATTGATAAATTTTCAGTTCGAAGCCAAGGTGACAATGAAATTTGATAAGTGACTGTGATCTATTCCGAATGAAATTCGAATGGGCGATCGCGATTGATGTCATATTCGCGTCTTTCCCAGCGTTGACATTTCTAGAAACTGTTACAGTAGAGTCGTTAAAGTTGCTATTCGATACCTTCATGAAGCATGATCCGTTACAGATAAGACTAGCTTGCACAAATAGAGTATTCGCAACTTCCAAACAGCAACCGATGGCCCCATAACAGAAAACACCAAACTGAACATGCGCCCTCGTAGGGTTAGCAAACGTGCTGTTCCCTACGTTTAAAGAGCATAATCCCATACAGGTAAGACCACCTTGCTCGAACAACGAGTGCTCAACTTCTACGTAACATTTTGTTTCACTACAGGCAACCGTGACACCAGATTGAACAAATGATAGATCCCTTATGGTAACCGTGAGTCCTGATTTTGTCTCGAGTCCGTCATTAGTAAAAGGAGAGGGATATGATCTTGAGCTTGATGTAGCACGCATGCCCGTTCGTCCAGGTAGAGTTAGTTTGAACCTAATCTCGCAAGAGATATGCGCACGCGCAAACCAGCTGGAAATCCTCAAATTCTTTCCAATAATAGTGCGCGTTCCTGGACCACACTTGTAGGGATTATCTCTGGAGTCTGTTCCATCCAAGAAAAGTGATCCACCATCTGTAACCCTTTCCAAAGAATGTTCTAGTGTCTTACAAGGGACTTTCAGTTGGCCACAACGACGACTGTCTTTCCCTGTGGTGAGAGAAACGTAGATAGGAGAATCCGTAGCCACTGCAATGTAGAATAATTGATTTCGTTAGTTCTCTTCGATAACAGGCGCAAGTTGTACATTGAAAAACGAGATTAAGGTGTAAAATGAGGTGCCATTAGCGATGAAACCGTAACGCGCAGAGTAGCATTCCTAAATTAAGCTTTGAGAGGGTTTCACTAATTACTATTAATATCAAACACAGATTACGATGTTTGGGCAACACAGTTAATTTATTGACTAGCAGAACGAGACGCTAGCGTTAGAGGTCAATAAGCTAAACCAGTAGGGGTGGTGTGGGTGGGAAAGCGATGACTAGCTCGAAACTGACTATGCGTTAAGGCGATCTGAAACCCGATATATTGAAACAGCTGAGACTAACTGATTACGGGCGTGTTCTTTGCGGTAATTACCTATCATCACCCAGGGTGATCATCGTACTCATACCGAAAGCGATTAGCGAGCTCTTTCAGTCGTTTCGTTACACTGACCAAATATTAGAAATAGGCTACTAGTTCATGTTATGATAAAAAATGGCTCTGCAAAGTTCACATTCTGCTCGGAAGTAAGTTCAAGACTTTAACAAATACTTTTCAGTTTCGGAAACAAAAAAGCTTCGTTTTGCAAGGAAGATCCAATAAAGTATTCAGCCATTGCTACGTTCTGGACCAAATAACTGTTGTTCTCAGATAAAACAATAAAATTCGATGCTAGCATGAGTGGGTCTGTTGGGGGTTGATCGCGACCGAATGAATCTACAAAAAAGCGGGACTCGATAAGAATATGAATGCTTGTTCACAAATACCAAACGCCACGGTGATTTAGAAGAAGAAGAAGAAGAAAACTTTATTTAACGATGGTAAAATATATTGATTACTGGTCACCCAGTAGTTTTCATAATGGCCCTCCTACAATTTAAAGTAATAAAACGTATCGATCAAATTAATTAACTATCAGAGAATAATCTACTAACTAAATTTTAAATAATGAACATCTAATAATACGATATTAATTATTTGACTGCTAATAAAACTAGAAGGTTTTACAAATCTTAAAATGATCAATAAAGAAATTCTTATTACGATAGAGTTTAAATAAGTAATTTTTAAAATTTGTATGGGAGAGTGACCTAAGTTTTGGATCGAGAGTGTTCCACAAACGACAAGCGGTTGAGTGAAACGTTCTGTGGCCAGAGTTCCTTTTACAAGCTGGTGTTGTTAGCTGGTTACAGAGAGATTTGATACATAAAGCCAAATTAGAGAGAAGAAATCTGGAACATATAATCAAACAGGGGCAAATACAAGAGCAAAGAATAGAACAAAGTGGATCAACAGATGAACAAATCATCCATGATTGTAAACAAAATTCAGTTTCGAGTTTCCAGAGGCTGAATTGGTAATACTTTCTAACAATTGCGCTTTCGTGAGCTATTCAGTTTAAACTCAATGTCGCCAAAGATAAGTAATTTACCTGATGAGACAGTCAAGACACAGACCAAAAGATAAATGAGACATCTAGAAACAATAGCGGGTGCTTGTTTTTCCATCTTGTTGCTGCCACGTACTGCTCAGGGATCAGTTTCAGTTGGTAGCTGAGAGGTGCGAGTCTTGAACCTTCTCTCTTCACAATAAGCTGAACGATAGATTAGAAGTACTTGCCTTATATGGAAACGATGAACAAAATTAATGCATTTTGATCGATTTTCGTTTACTTCAGGAAAAATCAACCATCAAAATTTCAGACCATGTTTCTTTTAATTTTACCTTGAGATACAATTGACAATAATTCCATGCTTCCCGGGGTATCCTTGCGACGTCTTTATTTCGGTCTCCTTTCTGCATATAGAGTGGAAAGTATGCCTTTGCCATTACCATATTGAAATAGTATTGAGCTGAATTTGATATAATTGTCGTTGATATGCTAATAGAGTCCATAAGTTCCAATCGAAACTATTATACGAAACCTTTTGTAAATAAATGAAATACCACAGGAATTGAAGAAAAGTTGGGCTGTAAAAAGAACATTAAAGGAAAAGAAAGTTTCAGAAACACACCAGGAAGCTAATTTTCAACCAACTTTGAATGCTCATCTGAATGGAAGCAGACAAGATATGTTTCAGCACTCCTTATTTTTCATTTAGCAACCTTAAAGGATAATGTAATCTCATAACAATTTTCCTAATCTGTTTCCTTTAGCATGTTTACATGGAGAGCCTCCAAAAAGTCAGTGTCAATTAAGATGGCGCTGGACATAAAAAGGGTCAGTGTTACAGTCTCAACAGGATAAATCATTAGCTGTAAAACGGCCAAAAAAAATTTAGCCGTAAAAAATTGACAGATTTTAACCGTGAGTCACGAAAAATAGTTAACCATCGAAAAAGTTTCTGTCGATAGCAATGGGAAAATAACTGCTAGCCGGAAATTGTAGCCGTAAGAAGAATGCGAGAAGCCGAAAAGAGATCTTAGAAAAATGATGATTAAGAACCTTAACCTATTCCATCACCGCAAACACGGCTCTCTCTTTGATTTAAAACGTATTTAATGTCACAAGAAATGGCTTAAAGATGTTTCTGGAAAACCACATGTTCCCCTAGACTGGTACAAGGTGAAAAGTGATAAGATCAACATGTATGGGTTAGAATTGAATGGTACCAGGAATGTTAGTCGACATTACGACAACTTTTTGAAAAGCCAGTCTCTTCATCAAGCCACTCAATTCATTGAGGTATGGTGACTGAATCTTTTTTTTTTAAGTCGACAGTTAGATTATTCGGCCTTTCCATTGATTTACACAGTTATTATAGTTAATTCTTCAATTCATTTGATAGCTTAAAGATACCTTTAATTAAAATGATCATCTTAACAAAAGAAAGCTCATCAAGAGTGGAATTCTTTCTATTTTTCTCTTATCAGATTTCTGATTACGGAAGATTCAGAGAGAATATCCCTTCTGCACAATTTTCCGAACTTGACTTCATTTTGATTTTCAGATGGTGATGAAGAACATGTTTTTTGTTTGTGTGTCACTTCTGGCGCTCAGTGTTGAAGTTTACTGTCAGTCACAGGTAAAAAGAAATTCGTTGATGTGACGAACATGGGCTTCTCTTGACTTCATTAAGTTGTAGTAAGAGTAACACTATTTTTCGTTATCATACCAAAATCAAACTTTGGAAAAAAAAAAAAAAGTCTGGATAAATCCAACATTTTTCATACTATCCTCGTACCTTTGTGATATGCACCTTTTGAAGGACAAAAAGCCCTATTATCCAGCTTTGCTCTGTAAAATTGAAAAATTTCTCCTGAAGCCATCTTCTATTTTATTTAAGTTTCTTCGCTGGTGTGTGGCAGAGAACGGCATCTGCCATCGTGACAGAGAATGCTGCGATAAAATGACTTGTAGTGACCATTTTGGCGTCGGTAAGTGTATACCACTGACATCGTCAGCCCCAGTTCCCTCAACATGGCCCCAGACAGGCTTTCAGACTTGGCCTCAGACATGGCCCTGCACGCACACCTGGCTACCTCTGTACCCTCCTTGGTGCGTGCCGATCAAGAAAAAGAAGAAGAAAAAGAAGAAGAAAACCAAGATTTTCATTAGAGTTTGTGGGGATCTCATGGGAATGGATGTTAAGGCCAAAAAAAAGGACATTTTATTAAAACGAATGACATGCAAAGAGATGAAAAAAACGTTTAAAACATGGAGAAAATGAAGGAAAAGTAACTTCCAATCAAATTTTTTGAAAACCAAAGACAGCCAATCGTTTCACCTAATAACGTCAGGCTCGATCCACAGTTTTCTCGCCTTCATGCAGTGCAAACTAGAGCGGTGAACGCCATTGATTTTGCATTTCGTTAAGAAAAGGAGACGAAGTGCAATAGAATGCTCAATAGCTGTCGTTACTTTGTATGGGAACATAACTAAGACGAGATCAGTGGTGAAAAGCCGTTTGATACCAATGAGAATAAAAGTTAAGACGTTGATGAGATCACGGTAGCAGCACCAGCTATTCATTATTTACGGTTTGGTTGATAATTCTTCTTTGATGGGAATCGGAGAAAAACAAATGAGAAAGTGTGTCATATACAGTAGAATTAATAAGTAAGTAAAAAGAAAACGATAAAAAGAATAGGTGGCAAAGAATAGTAATGCAGTGGTTAGTGGTTCAGACAGTATTATTGAGTAAGGTTACTTTTAATTAAACAAAGGTGTGCGAACAGCTCATCATTCCAAAGTTATGCCTCGGAAAGTTGGATTGTCCGATTATTGATATGCTCTTCATCGGACACAAGAAACTCCAATTTATTTATATGATCATTAACACCCTCTCCCCGATGCATTGCGATTTTAATCACATGCACCTCTACTTTCGTACGCTTTTCATGATAGCAAGCCCGCATAATTTGACTTACACGAATTTCAGGTCATGCAGTCATCGATTATTATCATCTTCAACTGCCGCTTTAAACAAGAATCCTCTTTATTAGAATCGTAAATATTTTGGAATTTAAACTTGTGGAGAATTTCAATATATTGTTCATAAAAAAAGATAGGTTTTTCTTTCAAAAAGGTAAGTGCAAAGGAGTTTACTGAAGACTTTTAGTAGCATAGGCACTTTTGTAGTCACCTAAAGGAATTAAGTAACCTTCTGGATTGAGGTTGTTGTGCTCCCTGGATCTTTTATTTTTCAGTCACTTATTTCTGATCAGACTGATTTCCTTATTCTGATTAGATTGATTTCCTTATTCTTTCTCAAAAAGTATGCTGAAATCACTTGTTGAAACTGTTGGAAAAGCGGTAACTTTTTATTTAACGAGGCCGTTATTAACACAACGGTAACCTGAACAGTTTTGCCAAAGATTTGAAACATCCAATCCACTTCTCGATTACTTTGTCAGATAAAAGCTGCGTGGATGCTGATTGGTTCAAGGTGACTCAATCGCCTGTTGAAACTGGTGGAAAAAAACGGGCTTCTTCTGAATCGTGATCCTTTCCATGGAGATGAAAAGTCAAACATATATACACGGCAAAGTTTTCTGTGCGGCAAAGTCAAAACGATATGACAAGTGCTTTCCCCATGAAACGTTCGTCAATACACAATTAAATCGTCATTTTATTGTACATTATTTACATATTAATTGTAGAACATACCACTGTGGTACAATGCCATTACAATCCTTATAAGATAACCAACCACCGAGATCTTCTCTCCAGTGGCATTCAGAGAATTGCTCTCAACGAGCCACTTAATCTTTCACTACCTGCTTAAGTTCCTAGCCCATTTTTTCCAAGATGCAGGCATTAACTGGCTCCTTAATTAGCTTTCCAACACATAAGGAGTAAGCGATCAAAGCCAAACAACACCGCAACTAGCTGAAGCCTTGTTATATATCTGGAACAAATGTTGTCTTTTTGGACTTTCCTCCAGGAAGTTAAAGGAAAACTATGATAGTTTCTTCCGAGGGTGTAAAAATAAGTGATAAAGTGAATTCATTTGATTGTCGTCTGGGCGAAAGTTTCTCAAAAGGTACGTAACTCGCGGGCGTCAAATCCCCATAACCCTCAGATGAAGGATAACAATATGAAAGCAACATACATGCGGAATGTTTTCCCCATTGCATGGCTTAATTATCTCTGCTTTTATCAAGGATAATTTGTTTATGACAGGCACTCCTTAATGGTACGTCGCTTTTTTTCTTTTTTGGCAATTTCAGGTGTTAGGTTTAGAGTGCACAGCGAATTCTTCGAAGACTAAACTCTATAAGAATTTGGTTTTTAAACCAATTTGGAGATGAGTCCTCTTCTATTCAAAGCTTACAGGGTACAGAGGGATATGTCTACAGGCCGGATAAAAACCAATAAAACCCTTAACCATTGGTAGGTAACGGCGAGGTAGTCGTATATAAAAGAAGGAAAAATTGTCTGTTTGCCAGAAGTCCCTTGACTTTGTTTATCCCAATGGTCAAGTGGTCTGCAAAATGACACCTCTACGTTTTACTTTTGCTTTTTAGATCTATAATTACACAAGAAAAAGGTATCGGTGATTCAACGCGATGTTGTTCCGAGAGATTAAATTAGGTTGGCATAACTTATCCCCAAACATCGTCTGACTTGCAAAGCTCTTTAACCAAAAGCCAGGTCGTACAAGTTATGATAAAAAAAACCAACATTTCTAAACAGGAACAATACGAATAAAGCAGATCTAAGAAAAACCGAGGTACGATAATTCAGATAATTTTCCAAATGCTGTGCCAGGTACATGACTGAATTATATATACACTGTTGAATGAATCTCCACGGGTGAGGAGTGCCTGGCATTTTCGTAAAGTCGTCTATCACAGAGACATGTGACTGTTCTCTTGTATAGTTCGTCAGTAGTCAGGGTGTTTGTCAGTTACATTGTGTCTTATTACACCCATCTGCATGTCAGTACCATTGTGTCACAGTGCACCCGTCTGTAAGTCAGTACCATTGTGTCTCATTACACCTATCTGCATGTCAGTTCCATTGTGTCACAGTGCACCCGTCTGTAAGTCAGTACCATTGTCTCATTACACCCATCTGCATGTCAGTTCCATTGTGTCACAGTGCACCCGTTTGTAAGTCGGTTATTACGATGTCAACAGTGCACAGTTTCCATCTGTAAGTCAAAATGAAAGAAACAATAGTTCAGGAATATAATGGTCCTGCATTGAACTGTTTTTTTTCGCATCACTTTAAGTAAGGGAACGAATAGAACTTGATTCTTTGTGCTTTTAAAATCTATTTGCCCGTAACCACAAACATTGCCCAGTACCTCCACTTGATCATTACAATGCGAACATTAAAGATAAAACAAGATGGGTTCCCCGAATTCGAGTTAAAAAATGATACAAAGGGAAACAAAACACACAAAGTGATTGTTTCGATTTATCTAGAGTCAACTAGATTTGCTCTACTTGAAGAAAACAAAACATTGCAGCCTTCTTTCTATCGCCTTTGTTTACTGAACACACAGGACTGTCAATTTTTATTACAAAACATTCTTAAAAATCAACAAGAAACTCATACATCAGCAAAGAAACTTTTCTTTGTAAATACTTGTTATATCACACGATTAGTTTACTTTGTCTCTAAAGTGTAGTCTCTAATTTTATCACTGCTAAATTTCCTTCAAAAACTATAGCCTCAGCTAAAATCCTTTTTCTGACGTATGACATTTTTTTATCATTCCATCCATTTTTTGTACAAAATTAGTCGAGTGACGAGAATGTTTGATTTAATCATCTTAAGTCTACCAGTTCGTAGTTTCATTAAGTTTAAAGGAGGAAATTAGTACAGGCATGGTATTTATAATGTCAAAATGTTATATTAAGCCAAAGGTGTTAAAGAATAACGAAATAATATAATTTTCTTGAAAGTTAAGGAGTGTCTCTACAGTTTTGAATTGAATTCAAGTCAAGGACTGCGAATTCTGGCCTGATAAATAGCAAACCTATTTGATGTTTTTACATGTACCACTAATGCTTACTTTTTTTTAACTAAAAAAGATAGTACATGTCAAAAGAACATAACAAACTCAATCAATTATTTATTTCAAGGTTCGACTTGCCAAACTGGCCGTTTAAAAATCTTGAAAAACTTGTCGACATTCCATCAAAGTCCTGAAACGTTTAACTCCGTGAAGTTACGTGTCATGAAATTCAGCGAAGTTACACAATACTGCAGTTTACCTAACCCGTCATAAGAAAGGTAAGTTCCTTAAACTATCGAATTGTATAATTATGCAACGTCTTGGCACCAATGAAGGTCACATCGAAACACGTGACCTGTCGTTACCTTAGAAGCATGCACAATAGGCACTATGAGTGCTGTAGTCTCAGAAGACGTTCTGTTTTGCCACCTCCCTGTGTTTCACTCAGCCATTCCTTGCAAGGAAACTCGTATACACGACCATTCTCGTCTTTAACTGTTACCTAGGAAACAAGAAAAAAATTACGAGGTAAATAAACCACCTGGAGTAACTTTACATTCTGGGTTAAAAAAGTAATAAGGTAATTTGGTAATATCAACTGAGTTGAAATTGTAAATTGGCCACCGTAAAGAGTGAAAAAGCTGACGTTTCGAGCGTTAGCCCTTCGTCAGCTTCTTCAGAAACTTACCCCCTTTAAAAAAGTAATTCATTGATTGCAGTGATTTTGCTTTATTATTCTTAATTCTGGTCTACGTAATTTGAGTCATTATTTTGATGAAACAGATGCAAAAACTTAGACCAATCTGGATAAGTCACGTATGTTATCCTCATCGAGACATTTTCATGCATTTACTTTACTTCTGACCTATTTTGGGTTTTGTTTTTTCTAAAGACAGTCGCAAAGGGCTCTGAGATATGAATGAAGAGGCATTCCTTTCCAATAGAACCTTGTTCCTTACAAAGAAATAAAGCTGAATTCTTTGGACCAATATTAATAAATCCTTAGGAAAAGTTATTACGGAGAGATATATCAAAACGAACATCTTTCTCGTTTCACCTCACACTTTCTATATGTTCGCGAGGCTACTCTTTTCAGGATAAACAGAGTTAATTTAAAAATGGATTAAACTTTAGATTGTTGTCTTCGATAGATGATTTCCAAACTTGTATCGTGTTTTTCAAGTGGGTGATTATGCTGAGGAAATGATAGATAACTGTGTCCGTTCCTCATCGTAACAAAAACAAGCATGTATATCACATGACCGTGGCGATTATGGAAGAATGGCGGCTATTTCTTTAGAGGATGGACAGTGTTAAAAAAGACCACACTTTTTCTCACTGCTAATGTCATAGTAAGAATTTCATTTGTTCCTTTGATCGAAATAAGCTAGATCAAATTTAATTAAAGTACAATGCAATTAAATAGATATCAAAACACTGTAAAGGTTCTCGCACCTTTTGCAAAAACCAGCTGGGAGTTGTTCCTGAGTTATCGTGAAGAATTCTAACTTGCCTCAGCTTACCAAGATCAGGTAAGACAAGAGTATTTGTATCATTTCTGAGAGAGAAAAAAATTTAATCGTTTCAACATTATTGATTCAAATGGATCGTTTCTTCCTTCCTAAAAAAGGACTATTTCGTTAAGACTTTGACTCACTTTCCCCTTGAAAAATGTGTAGTGTCCAGTTTCCTAAATCCGGAGTCTCCCTTCTCTCCATATAAGGTTATGTACACCTTAGCATCTGTGTCGGCGCCTTCGACATCTCCAGTTAGCGTGGTTACAGTGTAGTTGGTACCTGGGACAGATGAGATACGATTACGCGACCCAAAATCAGTAGAGTGAGGTTTCAAAACTCAAGCATCCGAAGAAAACGCGAATAATATATAAATTAGGGAAATATGAACTGGTAACGATGCCCTTAAGTTAAATCTAATCTTCAAAGCAAGTTACAAAAATTAGCAAACCAACTTTTTAACTGATCTACCTTACCTAGATCCACTTAAAGTCCATCTGATCATTACCTTCAATTTTTTCCTTTCAATCAAGTTGCGACATTATTTCGTTACTTATTAGTTCATTTGTTACCTAAACCAAAGAAGTAGACCATGTTTGTGGCATTGCCACCGCAGTTCTCCTTGTCATTTCCTTTACAAGGCATGTTACACTGAGCATCATCTGCTTTGCCGTACTTTCCATAGCGGTGCCCGCAAAAACATTTGTCAGCGTCCTGAAGTCCAAAGTAAGAGTAACCCTTTTCTTCAAGAGCGCATGCTCGTACACAGTCCTCTTGTGTAACAGATTTGACTGTAGCTCTGTCAGGCAAATCATGCTTGACATTTTCATCTTTAAAGCAGCCGACCTTCTGGAAGAGTAACAGCACGTCTTCTTTCTTTTCGTCTGGAAGATTTTCGACTGTTTTGGATTCAAATGATTAAATAGGTTTACTTTTCGAAGGGTCTGTGTTGCTTTACTTCTATTTAACAAATCAACAGTGGTTAAAGTATGGTCTGTATCCTTATTGACAATAGTCATAATGTTGTGGAATCACGAGGCAAAGCCGAGTGAGTCCCCCTATTCTGTTTTAACAAATAATCAGATGAATTCCATCACATTTGCAGAATCTTGCGACGCTAAATGTGTACTATTTATGGAGGATATCAAGTTTTAGTTGGCTTCACTAGCAAGAACTTCACTTACGAATGAGATTTAGAGAACTAGAATTCTTTTGATAATCCTCAGTGCCAGTCTTGAGTTCGGGTTTGGGAATCTTGGCTTTCTTCACGATGGGATTCTCAGCATCTGGTTTGGAAACTAGAGGAAAATCACAGATATAAAGATCATTGCACTAGTTGCAGACGGGCTGCTAAATGTTTTGAAGTCAAAACCCCTTCACACTTTCCTTAAAGAGCTTTGCTTTATTACGACCGGTATCGTTTACATGATGCATGCACTCCTAACAGTTTGCGTTTGGAGCTGCTTCCATTAGTGGTAAAAGGAAATGGCTATTACTTCTTTCGAAGTTTAAAATGCCCATGTAATAAAAAAGTTAGTCAGTCAGTCAGTCAGTCAGAAAAAACATGGTTACCCTGACAGTTTCGCCCAGTGAAATCTGACGTGCATTTGCATCGGTAACCGTCCATTCTTTTATTGTCCCGGATGCACTTGGCGCCATTTTCACATGGCTCCGGATCGCATTTATTTCCTTAAAAATGAAAAAAAAAAAAACCAAAGAAAATTAAATTGTGTCCCTGAATCATTTGAGAAGAATCAATAGCCTAAAACCCAACAAATGCTATTATCTAGATGATGTATTGCGCGCTGTTGATACGTCACAAATGACTGTCTTGCTCTGTGCTGTCAAGAATTTTTTTCTAGGAAAACAATTCTGCCATCGTCAACACTGTAACTTGTTGGGGTGATTTGCCTCCTGATCTCAACATATTATCCCGCTGAGAGGTTGTGAGCGCAAAAAAGTTTAAGAGCCTCTGGATCCTATCTTCATATTGAATCGCGTTTCTTTGTCTTAGTTATTGGGAAGTATGCGGCGGTCAGGAAGGAGAAAATCCCTTCGAAACCTTAGAGCCAGAAGAACAAAGTGAGCTGACCCTTACACCCTCCCAAAATTAACAACCTCATTGTTGTCCCTGCATTTCCTATAATTGGGACTCTAATTATTTGGTAACAAATCAAGCGACATTAATCTCTCCTTTCCGTGATTTTTGGGCTTGTCAATATTTCGTAAGTGTAAGGAAAACTTGGCAACTGGTCACTCTTGTGAATGAAAAGCTTAAGATAGCAAAGATAAGTACGATTGCAAACAAAAAATCTGAAATATTACCTGACGTAGACTCAGATCCTACAAAAGTTCAGAAAAAAAAAAGAGAATTTGCTGATCAGGTCCAACGACTACATTCATTATTTTCACCTGCGCAAGGTATGACAAGCGCGCTATTGTAAATGACGTTCTGGTCTCAAGATGCCAGTGATGTCAACTTATGTTCCATAAGTACCACCTCATTTTTTTACCATACCTAACAACTATTACATTTACCATTTGACTGTTATTGAATTGCATAATAAGTGATGTAGTATAATAACTGTGTCAACTAAAATAAAAATTAGAATGGTTGCAACTTAGCGGCCCCAGCAGGCTACTTGTAAGAAGCAAGTTGCTGCTTCTAGTGTAATTTACTAATAAATGTATAAATACTCTACTAAACCAACTCAAAAGAAAATTATAAGGATTTTAGGGACTCCACCCGTTAATCTCTGATGTCCCAATATCCCTTGTCTCGTTTCCTCACTTACCCTGAATCTCGTCGTCAGCCTCTTCGTCTTTGTCATATTTACCAGCATTGTGTGAAATGGATACGGCGCTTGCTGAGATAAAGAAATTGTTGGATACTTACAAGTTGGAAAATGAACATAATTGATATCGGTAGTAAAGAGAAATATCTGAAGTAGTTTTGAAGAACATTCGGTTTTTTGACCAAAACACTTACCAATTAAACGTACAATTAATTAATCAGTTAATTGATTAATTAATTAATTGAATTGAGAAGTAAAATGTGCGGGAACTTTCTAAAATAGTGAAATACGTCTGACCGTTCCACGAAAAACTTTACAACACACAAAATAAACTTTACAATCAAAGTCATGCTCGTCCCAGTCTCCTGAACCTGACCCGTCACCAGATTCCAACGCGTCATCTCCTAAAGGATTCGCTGTGTGGTAAAAATCAAAATGAATATAATTAGTCACTCTCTGGTAATCAAATAATATCAAACTGATGATTGAGAGCATTTTTCAATTGCGTATCAAGAGTAATCCAGGATTGGATGCTTTCACTTCAAGACAAAACTCTTTCTACCTTTACACTGCCCACTCAGCTGCAAAACCTCAACCAATCGTCACTTGGTCTCTGTGTTTCCTGTGCTTAAGGCCGGTTTAATGGAATTACGTCGACTTCTCCCTGTATTGATCATCTTTTCTCTCGTTGGACGTTGTAATAGTCGTGGCTACTTTCTCAGTTTCAGTTTTAGTTTTACAACGCTTAAATGAAAAGCACTTTCTTTGCAAAGGAACTAAACATCTTTAGAATAGAAAACAGTAACAGATTAATTCTATACCTTTCACAGGACAACTCTTGAGGTTTCCAATCTGTTGTTCGTCCAAAGCTTTGTCGTAAATCTGTAAACACGAAATCTTTCCGGCGAACCTTCTATCGTCGCCATCTCTGGCCCCAATTCTGATAGGATACTGTGTGGCCAGTTTAATCTGACCAATGTTACGACTCTTTACCATTTTGCCATTATGCCAAAGTTGCGCTACACCTGTAGTGTTGTCGTATGTTGCACCGACCTGGTTCCATTCGTTCAGCTGGAAAATTACGAAGATTCAGTGTTAATTTGCATCCCAAACATAAAGGAACGCGCAACAGTGATAAACAGATAAGGTTATTTCTTCATAGACTACTACTGCGTTTTTGTTTTTTCCCCTTTATCCGAAAATAGAAATGGCCGTCAAGTCGACATAAATTATTTTTCAGGGTGGAGTGGGAGGGTTAGGATTTACTTTGTAAAAAGCACACATAATCATGTGTCTTTAATGATGACTCAAGGAATAATCCCACAGTAACCAACGATATTTGGGCAAAATTAATTGTTTGTGGGCTAGAGGTAGTAACTCCTGGTGTGTTGTTAACCTGGTCACGTATTGTAAACCCGATGAGGATAAAAATTTTGGATGTGCTTGGCTTCATACTGAGCTTTTCAAAATTAGTAATGAAATATATACCAAAGAACGGAATTACAAACCAGTAACACTCTTGAAGCAATTGGCTTGTGGAAAACTCCATTACGGTGTACAAATCTGACAAAAAGCTCCGTGGATTCAAACTGCCACAGATGAACTCCCCAACCATCCGTTTTGTAGTTCAAGATGGGTCCACCACTCCCTGTGGGATAGATGTTTGCCAGGATTGTCATTGAGTTCTGTGTATCCATCTTGCCGTCATTAGGAATCTCCACAAATGAATCTGCTGTGCCTTTGAACTCATACGCTCCATCGTCATGGCCTATTCAAAATAAAACAGTTTCCTTTTTGTTAAAATCTAGTGCGTCATATTCTACAATTTTTGAACAACTGAATATTTTGCGTGACGGGCCAAAAAAGCTACCACGGGGGAGGGCACTATCAGTTAAGTCTGTCCCAAAGGGGGAGGGAACGGTAAAACTTTTCACTAAATCCATTTTTAAATCAGCAGTTATTTTTCCACTCAAACTAGCTCTCTGCAATGTAATTTATTCACAACTCGCACCATTATTTCTTCCGAACCGCACTTTTTCCCAGCTGATGCATCCTAATGGAAAACAACCGATCAGATTTCAAGACTTGTTTAAAGTAACCAATCTAATTGCAAGTGGTGGATTTTGAAATTTTCTACCTCACCAATTTTTTTGGACGGATCAATTAAATTACTTGCACTTTCAAAATGGATACAAGAAAGTGTTGATTAAACTTGGTGTCGTGCCAATCTGGTGTAAAATCACACTTGTAAGTTGAGATCACAAGTATGTTTTCACGCAAAATTGCACTCCAGTCACTTCAATTACCATTTCGTATACCAATTGTTAATTCGTATACCTGGGTGATTTTGGTTGGATGATATTTAGACTGGAGAAAGAAAAGATAAGAATGCAATATTTTCCACGAGTGAAAACGAGAAAACGTTTGCAAATATAAGATGCCTTCCTTCAACACCTGAAAGAATCCAAGGTCGAAGCAAAGCAAAGCAAAATATTTTCAAGAACCAATAAATTCATTTCAAAAAGAACGTCAAAGAAATAGTTTGACAATAAACGCATAATCCATACATCATTGATTGCTACTAGTTCTAATTATCATAAAAGGAACAATCGGTGTAAGCTTACCATCAGGCCCACTTGCGAGTTCTACATTACTCAGAACGCCATTTTCGTGGTTAGGTCCCGCATCCTTTGAACCAAATTCTTTATTGAGCGGATACAAACCAACCGGCTTAGGTATAGCTGAAAACGAATTCGGAAGGATATTGTGATATCATCATTGTTTAGCACGAACGTAAGAGACACGCGCAAGAAAAAGCGGAGACGCGTGCCTTCTCACTCGATCACACTCCTTTGAGGTGCGCGGTTGGTGTGCTGGCAGAGTATTGCATAAACTTGTAACGTAGATATCGCGTTTGGAGCCCTCTGTTTTAGATCATTGGCTCGGTAAGAGAGCAAGTGGTTGAGTCAGTGACTTTCCGAAAAAAAAAAATAGTCAACTCTTGGGTAAGTTCACATGCAGGTTTGTAATTCCATGTTTTTAAAAATGGCTGAGATAATCCTTGTTCATTCACAATCAATTTTTTCCGAAAATAATGAGTGAACAGGAGTTAATGAATGCTTTAGTATAATTAGGCAGGTCGTTGTATCACTACCCGTTAGTTCTTCAACCAATTTTCATTGCTGAAATCTTAACAAGATAGACGTAATTCGTTCTACCTCGATCAGAGCGCACCCTTTCCCCAAAACAACCCAGAAATTATACTCCGGGTAACACTGATATCAGGCGATACCGACATGCTGTGTCTTGATAAAGATAACTTTTCAAGCTCATTTCACAGATACAAACCTTCTTCTTCCGATGATGGTCCCGGGCCAGTTCTTCCATCTAAAATCGAAACAAACCAATAAATCAGTTTATTTGGTTTTTTTTTTAGACGAGATCTGTCACATAAACTTTACTTTAAAAAGGTATATTTCACTTTCCCTTCCTAATCTTTAAAACCAAAAGTATCCCAATACAGCCTTGCTCCTATCTATGTGCAATCTGAAGTTGTAAACCACTCTTTCCTTCAAGACTTTCTAACCAGTTTTAATGTGAAATTAGCACCTGCACAGGTTTCATCTCAACACCTACAAACTTAAGAAAAACCTTCTATTTTCCTTTTTGGGAATAATAAACACATCCTTAAAATGGAACTTGAATCGAATTAAGGTTTTAAAATTCCTCCTTACAACGCAGTCAAATATCTTTTCCTCGATATCATTCGCCCCTCATATCATTGTGTCCATTACCTGGTAATCGCCAACTCAAATGCACTCTTTTGATTGGTCCCTCAAAGTGACCACTGGGCAGCTCCACAGCCACAGAGACACAGTCAGCCAGCTTATCAGACTTCTGATACGCCTCCAGATAATAGTATTTACCTTTCTTGAGGTGAATACGTTCAGACTTTTGCTCTGGAAATCTAAGAAAAGAAAAATAAAAACGACTCGTGTTACTATTGAGTTTCGACACCTTCTTTCACATAAGCTGATATACCGTTTACGTCGTAATAAGCGAATGTTAGGTCATATCGTAAAACGTTGGATCGTGCTTTTTTCACTTCTCGTATTGAACAAACAAAACTAAAGATACAAAACTGTATTAGTCAAGAAAATATTATCTAGCCCGAACGGTTGTTACAGCCGACAAAAATGCCTAAATGGTAGCATTAAGTTGTTCAATTTTTTTTGTTTTCGACAGGTGTAAAATACTCAACCATCATTGCATGACTGTACGATAAGGAGAAAATACATCAATTACTTAAACAAGCTTTTAAAAAAATCATAAAGCTTTTAGATCGACAAAGCTATTTCCGTATCGAAAGAATCCCTTTAAAACTTTTTGAACACTTTTCAATAATCATGTTGGGGTTTCTCTAACAACTCCTATATTCAACATTAGCTCATGCCTTCTGTTCTTCATAAGCGATTTTCCATGATACATCAGAAGCTTCATTAACTGGTAATAAGCGTCAGATCATCAACAGAAATGATGTTGTTGATTTACGCTTAACATCAAAGACTCAAAATGGAATGGATTGAGAAACCTCTTTTTTTATTAAATAAATCTTTGCTTAAAATATATACCGTCAAATTTTCAGATTACCAATTAGAGCTTGTTCTTTTCAAATTTATTCTGGCTTTGGGTTAAGAGTTTGGTGGTCGCATTGTGGTTATTAAGTAACAAAAGATATCCGAAAACATTTTTACAATGCAAAATAGATTCGCAAATCCACTTCCTAAACATAGGAAGGCATCTCATTAACCATTGAGGTCATTACCATCGCTTTTCATGTTCTAAAGAGATAACGAATGGCGTTTCAGGTCTGTTAGCAGTATTTATCTTAAAGAACAAACATAAAACGATAAAGTAAACAATACATGTCAACAAAATACGATCACAGCAGGCCTAACTCTGCACAAAAATTAACTCCCATTGAATTTGAAATTTCCATTGAATTGTTGATATTTTATACCGGCGTCAGTAGTCGAGATAACATAAATGGCTATGGATGTAAGGAAACTTAATAAGTCACATTACGATAGAGGGAAGAAACTCTACCCACCAGCAATGGGCCAGCGAGAAGAGAAATACTTTCCAATCATAACAAAAAATTATTCTTATGGAAAAGAGAGGAAAACGATGACAAGATCCTTTGATCAACTGTGTCGACAAGAAAAAAGCAAAGGGACTTCAAATCAACAGAAGAACGCATTTCGTCTGCCCAAGATCAATGTGAAACGAGAATCGTTCAGTGTTTGCCAAAGATGCCATTCTCGTGATAATCTTTACAAAAGAAGCAAATTTGAGAATAGCTCGTCTTCATTGAACTCATTTGCGGCGAAAAAGGTCACCTTTCAAGACACGGTGAAGTTGCCAGGAGATGGGCCTGACTCGAATTCCTCTCAAAGGCTCTTACAGTCGCTACGAATTCTTGACCTCGACGTATCGGGAAAAAAATCCAAGTTTCAGCGAGATAACAGTTTAAGAATTTGTCCCGTGGAGCTATTACCAAGACCCACAAGGAATATAATCAGAAAGGAAACAATTACCTTGTCAAAGCCTGGGATCAAAGCTACATATCCCACGCTACAACTGTCAACTATCGATAAAAACGCAATTTTCACTTTTTCGCCGTCTCCATCACTGAGCTTCGAGTCTTTAGATTCTATAATAGGAGGGCCGCGCACCCTGACGCAACAACCGCCAGATATTTTCTCCTCTCGTTCACCCTCAGAACTTGAGCTTACACCTCTGTCAACCCCATAGTGCTTCAATAAAAAAGGAATCTCTTAACTTGTGACGATTCAGGGAGATACTTATTCGAGAATTGCAAGTTATATTGAAAAAAAATCTTAATTTGTGAACTTCGAGTGTCCTTTTTCTTTTTTCCTTCTGTTTTCCATTGAGTTAAACTAGAATCTGTCTTGAAGAGAGATGGTAAATACTAAGACTTTCAGATTTTGCGATTGAATGCTAAACCAAATAGGCAAGAAAGACTCGCTTGAGATGAAGGCCATAACCAGCGTCTGGTATCTTCTCTGTTCTGATACTTACATTTAATTTTATTTTGAAAATGAATCTGACTTTGGAAACTATTACTTGTGGAAATTTGAAATGTGCGGTGCAGTGAGGAAAGGGTAAACGATTATACCAAAGTTTGAGACCGTTGTGATAATCAATTTGAGGGAGTAATTCAACACGGATATCTTGTTGTTGAGGAACACTAGAGTTCTACTTTTCATCTAGAATACAAAACTGAATACACAAACTTAAGTGAAAAAGAGAAAGAGTCTGAAAGATAAAGGATGGTTTGCCTGTTGTTTTTTTATGCAAATTTTAAGCCCATCACTGCAGGTGATCCTCCTTCGTGATGGGGAAAACAGACAAGGCTGAAATTCAATATTATGCAAATGTAGTTTAATGCAGCTATTTTCTTTTACTCGGTTGGATGTTCGAACAATTACTGTAAACGCCTTGACGGGTAAATGAAAAAAATAGGTATCGTAAGATAGCAGAATTAGGTAGCAGCCACATCAACGACTAAAAAAGATTTGCGTCAGTCATCTGTAACATGAGAAATGATAATCTACGATCTTCTTGCAAAAAAGAACAGGTCTTAGCGGTTTCCGCTTAAAGCTTTTGACGTCATTAAGTTCCATTTCCTTCATCATATAGGGCTTTACAATGATAGGATTTGTGGCAATTTTCTTGTGAAGACAAAAGAAGAATTGAATAACATTCACAAGCTATTTTACCCTTGGCTTGAAATTCAAGCAATCTATTTCAACACTGCAAAATATCTCTATTCGGACATGTTGGTGCTCCTGTCAATATTTGCCTCGTGATTCTAAACTCATTTGACAAGATCGTGTTTTTTTTTCCTCCAGCTCTGTTCATGTTGAATGCCAGTTATTTTATTCGTGGGAGTCTTGCTGCTTAACGTGATTTTCTAATGCTTGCGTTCATGTATAATCTTGCAAGAAATTTGAACAGTACGACCGCAAAATGCATGAACAACAGGAAGTTTTTAAAAACAAATGTTTTGGTGTCATGGTGTTTCCTTTCCTTTCCTCCTTCCTGTTTTTTTTTTTTTTTTAATCGTGAAAGCGCCTTTTCGATGTCCGGTTTTGCATCCAAAACAAATTTACAGATTCAAATTAGGTTAAATTGGGTTAAAGAGTTTAAAAGTAACCATTAAAGCCTCATTATTTCAGAGCAACTGAGATTCGATGTTAAGCCAAGCTGCATTAGTAGCTGCACGATAGTGTATACACTAAGTTAGAAACTATTTGATCTTATTGATAACAATACAGTCGTCTATTGCCGGAAAGGTAATAAATCCAGTAAAAGCTTCTTATTAAGATGACTAAAAGAACAGTACATAAAAGCAAAGAACCTAATTTGGTCTGCTATGAAAAAATAAAGTGACCGTGGATTTAAAAAAATATAGATGACCAAAACTGAATAACATTTCCTGCTTTCGTCAGAGAAGAATCAAAAGTGTGCATCCTTCACTTTGAATGCAACAGAGTATGTATATCTTTACTTATAATCACCTAGTGACTCGTGGATTCTGAATAGTTAGCAGAGAAGCTGGGAGTATGGTTACATCTCAGTAAGACAGGGAGGACACACAAGTTATGACAGCCATGCTTAAAGGCCAACCGATGGGTGTCTACACAAACGGTGTGACTGTTTCTTTAAATGTAAAGGGAATGTGTGACAACATCACTCAGGCGAGCGACTCTTGCCGTACCCTTCAAAACGCCAACTTTCGCCGCGCAGAAAGAACGACAATATAAATCATTCAAATTAAAGTGTGTAGTGGTGAACAGTCGAGAAAATTTCTTCGCAAATTTGCAGGTTAATATGAAGCTTTTGAACATTTCATATCTCTCCTTGAAATCCAAATATACAAATGATCACGTTGTTTTTTTGGTCCCCCTCCCCCCTTCCCTGTGCTTCCAACATAACGTGCTAGGCACTCACACCTCTGTTGCTATTAATTTATTAATTTATTTATTAATTTATTTTAATTTTATTAATTTTTTATTAATTTCAGGTGAAGATCATGCTGAGAGACTGAATCGTCATTAAACTATCATTTACGAAGTCGTCTCTCCTAAGTAATTTTTAGTTCTCTCCAGATACCAGAAGGATTTAAAAACAAACAATCTTACGTGCTTACATAGACTCCACGTACGGCTTTGATTGGAAAATTAAACAGTTGTTATCAGAAAACCGACCCAAACGCTTTCACAAGAAAGTCACAAATGCACAACAACATACTTAATGCTTTGATCAGAATATTAAAGTGGGGGAGATAATCGAGTCTAAAAATGACTAAGATTTCACTCATGGCGTATTAGACTTAACTGAGAGTATTTTCATGGAATTCTCTTTGATAAAAACACTGTGTGACGTTTATCCTTATCATATACAACTTACTTGAGCCATTCGTTGTGTGCTGTCCAACCATTTATAGCAACAATCTTTTTCAAGTTTTTCTCTGACTCGTCGAAACTCAGCCACAGTTCTCCTGTAGTGTCCGCCGCCAGGAAGAACCTTAAAACAAAGTTCATATGTCTCAAAAATAGCTGTTGTTCTTTGGAAGATATTTTATAGATTACCTCTAAGTGAAAAGGCTAATGGTTAGTTGCCTAACTTGAAATGAGATTCACAAAAACGACACCCGTGTGCAATGCTAACTACAGTAATGGATAAGGCCGTTTTGGAAATTTTACCTGTTCCTGCTTATTTCTGTTACCTCTCTAACTTTAAAGTTATAGTGTTTAATTTGGTTAACACAATGCAACATCAGTGTAGGGGTAAAGGATTCTCAAGTTAAATAATGGGACTTTAAGAATTATCTAGGGTAATCATGGAATATGTACGCCCTGTCAAATCAGTTATCGAAAAAAAAGAAAAAAATTCAGTTTTAAATATAACTACATAAAGTTATATTTGACTGTGTGTGAATGTCGGGAATGGCTAAAATGGTTCACTAACTGAAAGTCTGACCCCTAAAAACATTTCCTAAGCTAAACACCTGACCTCGGCTGTTCGAAGGTTGGACAACGCTATCCTCCTGATAAATCTTTATCCGTTGGATAACGTTATCCGCCATTTAAACAACTGGACACAGAAAATTGGCAACTCAAATATTTTTTTTACCGGTACAAGCCGTTTTCTGGTGCCTTGAAAAAACCGCGTATCCTTGAACCGTAATTATCATCGACGTTGTGTGGTGCGTCAAACTTGTCCAGCACCTCAATGCTCGAGGGGTTGTTTGGAAAGTTTGGATTAGAAGTGAGGTCCATGATTCTATAGCCTGGGATATCTTGCCACACCTCACGAATAACACCAGCGAACGGGTCACCTGAATATCAAGTGAAGCAGCTTCAAAGGTAGTTCACTAAACGCGCACATGTTAGCTTAAAATTGATTGCATTGGACACAACATCCACTACAGCCAATCCGGCAGAATATCTAAACTGTACCGAATAAGGATACAAACAGTTCTGTTCTTTTGGGGTTGAATTTGCAAAATATTCACTGCTACGATGTTTCTCCAAAGATTGCAAATTAATTTGAAAATCATACGTGAACTGTTTCCTTATTTTTTCAACATCGAGATTTCAGCGTCTAGATGCTATACATGCTACACTACAGCGGGTAAAACCAAAATTTGTCATCTTCGCCACAAAACGTGTTCATTAAACAGTTGAAGCCTCTTTTGTTAGTTACTATTTGTTTTGTTTTTTTTCTTACCAGGCATTCTCCATTGAAGTATTTCTTTGGTAATAGGTCTCATGAATCGACCGCTGGGCAAACGCACTCCGGCGGAGAGCGAGTCAGTTGACTCAGTGCCTTTCTGTAGTCCAACAATGTAGTAATATTTTCCAGCCTCTAGTATCACAGACTTGGAGCTTTGACCAGCATATCTAAATACAACAATTAAATCCAGGAAAAGAGTGAATCGATCAGACAGGCTAATTAAGTTTACGTATTCTTGTTTCAGTCAATTACAAACTTAACGGTAATTAACACAGTTTATTACATAGATATTGCTTAAATACCAAAATTCCTCTTCTTTCGGAACATGATACCTTCACCGCGCGCAGTGAATCTTCACACGCGAAAGAACCAATGACATCACAGTAACCGGCTTCATCGAACTGGCGGTTTTATTATTTACGAAGGGTTGCACCGTTCTTTCCGAACATCAGTAAGATTGAATTCATTTTCAAGTTGAGCGAAGGACATTTTTGTAACAAGAGCATGTTTTATCTTGAAGTTGAAAGTCAAAGTAGCTTTTCTACCCGCTGAGTTTGACGCGCTGGTTATTTCTTCATTGGTGCTCCTAAAGGAAGTTTTAGAATTGTCTTTGATTTAAATATGTCTAATTAATATCTATATGATAAACAGAACATTGAATTTCCTCATGTGGGTACGAATTTATCCACACCCGAAGATAAAACTAGTATAAACTCGCGGCCAGGCAATATCCTATATACATGTAATCCGTCATTGGATGAAAAATTAGCGAAACGGCAGCTTAATTCTACCCACGCATCTCCAATAAGTTAAATATCAGATGACTATCTTTCCAAGGTAACATTCTCTACATTTTACTCAGTGAAAATCGCGAGGTAGAGGTTATAATTGCTTAATTAAGCACATATTTTCTCACTTGAGGCTAGAGCTCTCATGTTTAAGTATAAAGAAAACACGTACTTATTCCACTGGTTGTGGCCAGTTGCCTGATCCAGCGAAACCATTTTTGACAAGTTCTGCTGGCTCTCTGTGCTACTCATCCACAGTTCGCCACTCTGTGATCCAGACATGTAGAAAGTGTAGTTCCCAGTCTCAGGTGCCACGAAATATCCTTTCACCCTGCTACCGTAGTCTTTGTCAATGTCAAATGGAGAGTCAAAGTTTTCAATAATCTCAATAAGTGAGGGGTCGTTAGGGTAGTAGGGATCGTCTTTCAACTTGTTGATGGATTTTCCGGGCAGTTCTTTCCACACCTCGCGAATAAGGCCGGGGTATGGCATTTCTGTGTAAACAAATAAAAAAGGATAATGTTACGTTCCTCTCTCCTCCCATATTTTTGAGATCGGCGAAGAAACGAAGAAAATTAAAAAAAAAAAAAAAAGGCTGCTGGAGATGTAAGTAACATTGGAAACTGCAAGGCCAGGAAAATTAAAAGGTATGACCACGGTATGCATGCGATCCCGGCCGGTCGAGTTAGATCTGTACTGTAGTTTGTTTTTTTCTTGTATTGGAGCTAACTGTACAACGTAAACAGTAAAGCTAATGGCATAAAATCGTGCACCTGAGCGTTGTTCTAACTGTGGATTTCATAGTACACCCCTTAAAATCAACACAGAGCTGAGTTACGTCGAGCTCGCAACAACTTAAACTAAAACCAAATATGCCCTCATGTTTGTACACCAAACAATTTCACAGATTTACATTGAAAGTAGAGCTTTTCCCCTGTCTTACTTTGATAACTTCAAACTACACCAGTGGAGAGTAGGTAATCACTCAAAAACGAATAGGGTTTGATAAGAAACGTATCATTTCGGCTTAAAATAATGTGATACCACCCGTTTAAGCGTCCAGTGACAGACTCGGTAAATGTTGAGGAAGTCGTGAATCTAGATAAACTACACTTTTTAAAAACGATACTCACTCTTTCCACCATATATTTTTTCGACATCTTTCTTCTCAAGGAACCTTGGGAAGATAGCAAGGGAGCCAATTGAGAACTCTGCAGGGGAGTACTCGGGTCCGACATTTTTACGACCGACTATGAAGTCGGCACTCTCGGACACCACGTCACGGGGCACACTCTTAGGAGTCTTTGTCCAGCCTCGGAACTGACTGTCAGTGTAAAGCCACAGGCCGTCAGACAGACTCCAGCTCAGTACTACTCGCTGCCATCTGCAAACAAATGAAATGCATCATCGCAAGTTATATGTTAAATTCTAAGTTATTCAAATCATGGATTGAGTTTCTAGGATTTTCTGCGGGTTCTCCGTACTTTCTCCTCCTCAGAAAACCAATACTTAAGACTCAAATTCGACCGAGAATCCACAGTGGAAAAGAACGCCATCACAAGGATTGGCCTCTGCCTATTCTTTGAATTATCATTTGTGAGCTGTTATCTAAAACTTCCCGAGTTTTAAAAAATACTCTCACAAGAAGTACATGATGTAGTACTTTAGAAAAGCAAACTTCCTACAAAAAGGAGGGAAACAAACGTGTTATGGTCGAGCTGGAAGGCTCCTTCAAGTTGATAAGGTGATGAGTAAAATGAACAACATGTAGAAAGTACTTACAATACTCATGATATTTTTTACAATATAGTGTGGATAAGTGTTTTTGTGTGGTAGCTAATCCGTAAACCAGAAAATGTACCAAAGGATTTTTAGTTCATATCAAATGTGTATGCGACCTAACTGACAAAGGAAGAAAGATAAACGTGTCTGTTCTCACAGAGGCATATCAAGATAAACCTACCTCACGGTAAAGATAGAGGTTCTAACTGTCCATGTCAGAGTGTCTTCATCCGTGCTCATGGCAACACTGAAGTACAAGTTGTTGTTGAGGAGGTATGCAGACAGACCTTTAGTACCTTTTTGGTGACCGCCAGAGTCTAGAATGTAATGGGGTTCTTTGTATGTGCGAACGATCTGCAAGGAAGGGTAGCTAATTTAAAGAAATGCAAGTAAAGAACAAAAAATATTTATTGTAAAGGTCAACATCTTAAGCGAACAAAGACAATGCTCGCCTTGCCATAGGTAATGAATCTAGAATGTAATTATCGATTTCTTTTACCGCAATTCTTACCCGGTTAAATTTAAGCTTGCAGCTCAAGCTTAGTCCATTGGGACACTTGGAAGGATCATGGAGACATTTGCTATCAAAGTTTCCAACTTTAAGGAAGGATTCTTTCCCATCAAGATGCACTCCTCCATCCACAGCTCTGACTGGTCCATGCACCTCGATATCTGGACTGCCAGTTATCTTTTTGTCTTGAAGCTTTGGCAGCAGCCACATGTACCGTGGGACAACTGTAGAGATGACAATAAAGTAGTAAGTTACAGAAAATTAGCCAGTTGCCGTCAGTCGTAACCAAAGTGGCACACACTTTGTTGGTCTAGTATCTACAGACATTTAGCCGCACTCAATTGATAAGTATGACCAATTTCTAAGAAACTGATTTTTTTTGCTCAACGTTTAAACGGGTTGCCTAGTGCCAATATGTAAGGTAGCAACTTTCTAAAAATAGCACTGTCGTAAACTACTTGATGGCAAGTTTTGGAGCACTTACCTGTATTATCAAAAGTAAAGACATAGGGAACATCTTCAGGCGCAAGGAAACGTGTAAATGCGTAAAGTGAGCTTATATACATCCTGAAGAAGAAACAAAGTCATTTTAAGCAACTGAGATTAAACACGGTAAAGATTTTGTCCTGATAGAGAGCACTGAGATAATAGAGCACGGGAGAGGTAACTCGGAGTAGGTGAACCAGGGGTATAGCGTCCTCAGCGCCTTTACCACGCGCGCTTAGTTTTCCATTCCGGTGCTATATTTTCAGAGCGACTGGTTATCTCAATAATGACTGCAGTTGACTATAAGTCGATGATATCATTAAATTTCGTATGTTTTTTGGTTTTACAGTTTGCACCATGAAATTCCAGTCTTGAACACTTGTTTAGCTTCTGCCAAGATATCTTATCACCAGAGATTTCTTGTTGACTACCTAAGTCACAACTTATCTGTGATAAGAGCTATGGCTCGTAATCGCTCCGCCATGCAGTCATCATTTGGTCATGTAAAACCAGTGGAATTACCTAGTGTACTTGAAGGGTGGGTTTCCACTCTTTCTACCAATAGTAAGTCGAGCCTGTTTATTTGGTATCAGGCTGGTTTCTGTTCCGTCCTTCAGGGAGTCCCTGAACGCTCCGTTGACATACAGCATCAGCCCTTCTTCTTTCTTCCAAGTCAACACTATATCCTGCCACTCATTGGTGACAAGCTCCATTGACAGCTGCCATTCTTTGGTTGACGTCACAACCTACAAAGAAGATCAATTTGCTTGTAAGGGGACAAATCATCCACACAAAGTAAAGAAAATGACGTCGACACATCGAAAAAAAGATAGTGGTGGTGAACAGAGGTATAATCACGTCGATCATGTGATGTGATCGTCCTAGTGAGGGTACTCCTGAAAAACATTATTGTCAGTGACAATTACAGATGTTTCGACAATTCGAGCGATCAAATTACATTATATGATTGTTTCTTTCTTTGGGACGGAAATGACTTACTGCGACATTGGCAGCTGTGACGTTAAAAATCTCATAATATTTCAGGGTCAATTCCAATAGCTTACTCTAAGAATATCTTAATGGACTGAGTTTGTTGTTGGCATTGTTATTACTGAGTGAATAATGAAAGGAGGTTTTACTCAATCACCTGGTAATATAGTGAGCCATTTTGAATGTAGATTGACACGCCGCGCGAGTTGCCGCTGGAGTCTAAAACATATCGTTTGTCGTTGTAAGACAAAGCGTCGTCGTCGAAATTGAGCTGTGAAAAAATAAGTTCATGGAAATCAATCATCTGTCAGAAGAAAGAAAGGTCATCGAGGATGTAATTCTAACAGACAAACAAGCACTATAAATATAAAAAGTAGGCAGAACTCTTCTTTATAAACTGAATCAATTTACTTTGATGATTGTTTCCAGCAACTTAAGCACGATCAGGAAACTTTCTGTCTTCGATTATACGCACCAATAACGAGTTTGACGCTTTTGAAGATATACTCCAAAAGTAAGTAAAGTATTCTGAGAGAATAAAGGCACAATTTATGCAAGAATAGAAAATAACTTCCATTGTATTTAAGCTCTCTATGTCCCTGATATAGAAATTCCTGGGGAATGTTTTCTCACTTTCTAGTCCTTATTACAGTTTATACCTGTAACGCATAGGAGAAGCCCTTGATACAGAGATCAGGATCACCCAAACACTGTCCATAAAAATCCCCTGCATCCAGCCATGAGTCCACTCCATTGAGCTGAAGACCACCGTCCACTGATTTAACATTACCATGCGAGGCAATGCGGTTAGATCCGTGAATACGGCTGTTGGATATCTTTTGTACAGTCCACAAATACTGAGGAGTCACTACAAGAATAGAGAGAGTGCAATTTATGACATCAATAAGCTTCCAGGTGCTTTGTTTAATCAGAATGGACTGGTTGAACCTTTCTGTCTGCAAATAGAGCGGATCAACCGGGAGAACTGACACCATTGTCCTTGCCCTTGTCTTATGACTACGCGAAATACAGTGGACTTTTGCGTCCCCACTAATACAGAAAATGATCACAGTGATACAATATAATTTAGATTCTAGCATGAAAAACGAGTGAAGGTGAAAAACTTGACCTTCCCATTTTCTTTAGTACCAGAAAGGTCTCTCTCCGCTCGGCCATGCATACCGATTAATGGAAAGCCTCTTCAGGCTAATACGTGTCACTTCCTTGAGTCACTGTAATCCTCAGCTGAACGATACAGAAATACTATATCAATTAGGTCATTTTGAACCGCTCTTTTCATCAAGAGAGGCTTGTCTGTGTTGATGTTATAGTTATCAAAACTGGCGTCAGAAATGACATAAGTACTAGCTGGGAATTATCACGGCTCTCTCACCGGAATGGCTTCCAAATATCGTCACGCTTGTGTCAATGTCAGGATTCAGTAATGACTTGTTGGAGACAAATTTCTCAACCTCTTGAGTCAAAGTTGCGTCTGTTTGGAAATGAAAAATATTGAAGAAAAAAGAGCGTAAGACAAGTAACATTAGTTCTTAAGGTCTTAACACTGTTCAGAGGAAACAGCCCTTGGTAAAGAGAATGCTTTTGAATCGAGGAAAATATATGATTATCTTTTAAATTTCATGGAAATTGGCAATTCGAAGTTACTTAAAATTGTGAAATTGTTGTCGACGACAGAGGTACAGTGTTCAAGAACTAGCATCACTTACCATTAAGTGGATGATGTGGGCCCTTAGGACCTTCAAGAAAGAGCAGAGCCAATGTATAAGCCAAACACAATCTAGTAACTTATGTTCTTTACAGATTGTCTACGCTTTTTAGTTTTCTGCAGCTGTCTTTCATTTTCGCTGTATACCCCTACCGCTTTGAAAATGTGGGAAATGTTTACCTTACAGTTTAAATTTTGAAGTATTAACCCTTTGCATCCCAAAATCAGCTTTCATATTCTCCAAACTGCTCTCTTTATAGTTACTCTGTTAGAGGCAAGGGGAATTCGTTTGACAATCAAGACCTTAAATTGGTGATCATTTCCGTTATTCTCATGACCCTTGCATTTGATTCAGGGATGATAATCTTAGGAGAAATAAGAAATTTCTCACCGTTAGTGCTTAAAAGTTTAACAAATCTTGACAAGATCTCTGGGGAAAATAAACTATAACCGCAAAATTCCTTGCTTAAAAAGTGTTATTCTAACAGGTTATCGAGAAATTAAAAAAAAATCGTTTAAAATTAGGATAAGAAAGTTTGAAAGCTTGTTTTATCATTTAAGCCAGTTTACTTACTTGGTTTTTTACAAATAAAACTAAACTGGCTCTGACATGGCTCGTCGTGCCATTTTCCAGTGCTTGTCACTATTGCGCATGACACCCCTCCATTGTTGGGTGACTTCTCGTCCCAGTTGGTGTACGAGGACGTCATACGGTCAGTCCACACCCAGTCTCCCTCGTTATCAATGTCATTGTAGCCAATCCAAAAGTCTGATTTCAAATACACCTGAGAAAGCGTTTTGCCGTCAGTTTCACTTTCAAAGTCTAGACTTTGAATACTTCAGGGCTCGAAAAGTTGGGCCAAGGCTCATGAACTGCTGTAACTTTATTTGGTTTTAGAGGTTGCAAGTGAAGCCCTTTCGGGGTTATTAATCAAAGGCATATTTATTTGACGAGTGGCAATGAACTGGCGATAACCCTTACTCTTTTTCTACATTAAAAATCCTGGACAATTTTACATGTCGCGAGCGCAGGAAAATACTTGTTTTATAGCTTGGATAAATCATTTCATGTCCCACCTGGGGCTCGGATTTTTCTATTACACTAAAAATCATTTCGAAGCTGAAAAAACTGCAACAGACAAACCTGTGATATCATAGTCTCCTCGTCATCACTCAGTATACTTGCTAACGACGCCTGTTCGTCCATACATGATACTAGCGCATTTTCCCATGTTTTAGGTTCTTTGAAAAGTTTGTAGCATCCTCGAACTGAGTTTAAGGTCAGCTTCTTCCAGCCCTTGCCACAATCTTGAATCACAAAAAATCCTTAAATATTGCTGATTTTTGTTATTCTTTTTTTTTTTATTACAAGCGATGGACGTGTACGACAATTTTCTACGATAAATTTTAACAAGAGATAATAACTTTTTTCTCTTGATCTCAAAGATCAAATACGACTTTTAAGCGTATCTCTCAACAGAAACCGACGACGTTTCTCCACCTTAACAAAGGAATTTTTTACAACAGCTATGTTATAATTCTTTTTAAAATACAAATCATCTTTGAAAAGTCTCCGCACTCGTGAAAATTGCGTTATATAATGAAAACTGAAATCCAATCAAAGTAGTCCAGAGTATGTGCGCTGGAAGAAGATTTAATCAGAGTTTTGTTACCTTCTGGTTTCTTCTTACAGAGGTACTCATGCGTCTGTGAGCACGATGCATCTTTCCATTTCCCTTCTTTAGAACTTAACAGTACACAGTCTCTGCCTTTGCCATGGTCGTCCTTAGCGCTACTATCCCAGTTCGTGAAAACAGACAAACTTGAATCACTCCAAGTCCATGTGCCGTCTCTGGATTTGTCCCGGTATCCTAACCAAGATTCAATGTTTGTAAAGTTTTCAATGAAACGTTGTTCATAGGCGTTGGTCACGCTGAAAAGCTCTCCGCCAAAGCCCTTGCACGTCTGATGTGCGTTGTCCCATGATTTACGTTCGAAGATCTCTTTGTAACAAAATGAACCAAAATCACCGAGAGCTCCGATCCAACCAGCGCCACATTGAAGATCTGTAAGTTAAATTACAAAAAGCGTCACTGCAACTCCTAACCTTCATCTTAAGATTCAAATTATCAATAATCCGTTCTCTGCGTGCCAAGGGACATTCCACTAACTTAAGACCATGAATTGGTTGAGAGACAACACCTAATTGATTGAATTTACGTAGCATTTATCCTGATCATATTTTTCACGCAACCGGTTGGGGTAAATAATGTGAGGGTTGCTCTACTGGAGCTCACTGTTTCTCCCCAGACATTTCTTGTCAAACAGATTGTTGATCCGTGAGCAGGAGTTTCGTTTGTCAACCGAAAAGAAGTTGGTTCTCTTACCTGGCTTTGGTCGAATTAAATTCTTTTTTCCGATATTACCATTTGAACTTGGGTTTGCGTTCGAGTTTGAGTTTGCTTGGTGAGCTTGGTCACTTTGTTGTCCCTCTGGTGGCAGTGGAACTGGGTAGAACGGATAAGGACAAAACTCGTCTCCTTCACAAGGTTTGCGCTGTGATAGAAATCAACGAAGAGAAACACAATGAATCATTAATGAGTCAACAAATAATACTAATAAACGTATATAGCAACGGAACACAGCAAAACCATTTATTACTTTTGCACTCTTAAGTCACGTAGAATGAATGTTTCAAAAGTTCTTGCCCACAGCTAATGCAATCAGCAGGATTTATATTGTTTTTCCATTTGTCTGAAGTGTTTTTCTCAAATTCCCTGTTTGTACGATGGAATGGCAATGAAGAGAATGATTTCTAACATGTTAGGATATCAGATCGTAAAGAATTTCAAATGTTAATTTAGAAAGATGAGACCGCTGATTTAGGGGAACGACATTTTTCGAGACTAATTTAAGAGATGAAACAGTAGATGAACTTAGTGCGCTTGTCACCAGTACTAGAAGTGATAGTAGAGTAGTATAGTTGCAGTAGTAGCATAAGTATAAGTAGTAGTACTAGAAGTGGTATAGTTTAGAAGCACTATTAGTAGAAGCATCAGTAGTTGTAGCAGTAGTCGGAAGTAAAAAGTAGTAGAAAGAGGGGGGGTAGAATAGACAGGGAAGTCAGATTTCTTTCGAGGTACCCTTGAGTTCAACATGAACAATTTGAATAGAATGAACGAAAGCCGGTTTGCAGTAAAACATTTAAAGTGAGTAAAGTAATAATTGTTCCATTTATCTCACGGGTTTACTGTCTTTCCCATCATTGTCTTTCTTCCATGCTGCTGACAGCTGAGGGGAAACAAACTGACTTGGTTCGCCAAACAACTGGTTGTCAAACATTCTTTGCTGCAATGAATGAAACCAGGGGACAGATGAGCCAAAGAAACCTAAACGTTCGGTATACGAATGATGGTTTGATCGTTAAAAAAATTCAGCTTAGTTACATAACATTGGTAGAAAAGCCAATACCTCCATTAACTCTAAATTTTCGCTAATTGTTAACTGTTCCAAGAAATGGAGAATAATCATAAAGTTTGTAAATGAAAGCGATCTTCGTGGTAATGAACACTACATGAGCAGTAGTGATAATAACGCCTGAATAAAATTCAGGCCTGTACTGGATCCCATACAGGCTGATTTTTTTCAGGCCTTATTTTCACCACTGCTCAAGTAGTGTTCATTATTGCGAGGGTCGCTGTCATACACATTTCTTAAAACCGCAGTGCACATATATGATTTTCATATATTCTCGGTCATTGACTCAGTTAAATTTATTGAACCGCGTAAAAAAAAATCATCGTTCTCACTAAATGACAGAGAAGAACTGTAGCAGGTATAACTGATTTATGCCCCCAGTACATCATAAGTCAAACTTGATTTCTTTGCAGTGAAATTCCTTTAACTGCGAATACATCAGTCATCAATATAATGCCATACACAGACGTTGACCATTTTGCTTTTCATGTCTATTTTACCAGTTAATTTAGTCTCTTCAACTAATCTTATTTCAGGCCTAAAATCATAAGTGCCAAAACTTATGATAGGTGCAGATTGAGGGCTACCATGGAATTTTCTTTAAAACAGTACAGATCTAGAAAGTTAAACAAAAAGGAGCAGAAGTTTTGCATACTCCTTTAAATCTCTATCTCTTCGCTGCCATTAGATCTTTGGTTTTTTTCCGAACTGAGTGCAAACTATTCCTTAAGTTTAGAGATTTTAAACGTCGATGCTTTGATCGGGTTATAATTTATGGGAAACTGAGTTGTTAAGGCGTCGATCAATTCGAAGCCTCAACATTTCCCCCACACCAACCCCCGTGCATTTGAACTTTTAAAGATTGCTTTCAAATGCCCCACCCAATATTGAACGATTCTTTGTGTGATCAACGAATGTTAGCGAAGTCACCACGTATTTGTTTTTGGCGCTGCGGTTGGATTTTACGCTCGTTAGCATCATTGTACGATGTAAAAAATGTCTTTCTTAGCCATTCACTTACGAATGCAGACTCTTTACTCTTAAACATACATACATACATACATACATACATACATACATACATGACTTTATTTAAACTCGGATTTTAGAGTAGCTCAGAGAGCTAGTGTCTCTGAGTAACTAACACCCAGAGAGGTGTATTTCATGTGGAACACTGGGCCAATACTTTACTTTAGTGCCTGAAAGTCCTTTAATTAAAAATACGCCAATTTTTTGTATACAAGAATTAGGACCTTTTGTCAAAAAAATAGGATGACTCAAACACAATAATTATTAAGTGCTTTCAATCCAAGGAACCCCTTATAATGTCTTGTCATGTCCTTACTCTTAATTTTGAATATCTTTCTATCAAAGTTCCTTACAGCGTTTCCTGTGTTTGATAGATCGTTTTGACTTCCTTCAGGTGGCAATGGTATTGGATAAGGCTTTCCCCCTTCTGGAAACCATTGACGACCGACCGCTGGCTGTTGACATCGCAGTCATTTCAAAGCAATCAAACGATGGTTCAGAACAATCAAACTGTATTAGTATCCACGATCATGTTTATTACTCCCGAAGAAAAAACGAAAGTTAGCACATTTTTCGATGTTAGTCAACGCATGTAGAGTAAAAGTTAGTTCGATTACAGCTGAAGGGTTCTTCAAGACGCCTATTGCTTGGAACGATTTGAGGAAAACAACGAACGTTAACACGCGAAATTGTCGCTTTACATTATCCGAAGTTTGTCGGTTAGAGAATGTTAGTTCGATAATCGCTTAAGTGTTCCTCCTAATAACATCTCTAAGTTTGTGAAATGATTTTCAGATCCAAGACTAAGCTCATTTGAATCTTAAAGCTAAAAAGTACAGCAAACATAAGAAATTTACTCTGATTAGGAATTTTCAATCTTATCAGATATAACTTGTACAATAAACAACCGATGTTAACATTATGCATTGATGTAATGGAGAATTGATTTACGATTGCGATAGTAGTGTCGACAGTGGGTATGATTTGTTTCAAAGTTAGATGATTATTTTAATGCGCTATGTTAAAGTTAGAAGTATCACAGTTTAACTAAATCATCCCAACAGGATTAAAAATGTCACATAAAACACAGCAGATTATTATGATATTTGGGAATAAACTAAAACATGTGTATACATATGAACTTTTGTCTTCTTGTTACTTTTTAGGGACAGAGGGTATCTTCCCTTCGTAGGAAAACAAACAAACAAACAAACAAAAAGAGTGATTACTCTGGAACCCAGATCTAACGAGCACCTTAAATAACGAAGGCCCCACCACTGTGAGAGCTAATTTGGACCTGTCAGTTGTAAAGAGTGCAGTACATGTATCAGTGATCTTGGTTTCAGGGAATCTTATTACCAATACCCGTCATAATAAGCATGTTTCCATGACAGCTCAGGAAATCATTCGTTGTATCCGGGTTCCACTGTTTTATTGAACGAAAACGACGAAAGCTCACGAGACAACAAAAGGAATATAACGTCTATCATTAGTTCAGTACACGGCAGCTTTTTATATTTCGTCGCCTTTTCTTCTCTTCCTTGTTTTCGTAATCGTATCACTATTATACTTTCTTCCACTTTTTACTTACCTGTGGGTTGGTGTTTGCTTGGCTAAATGGATAATAAGGAGACTGAGACGGCAGTGACCCACGAGCAGAAGCCTGGGAAGAAGTCTTAGTAAAATAAAAGAAGTTCCAAGTTAACGCACTTAAAAACAAAGCAGCTATGTGGCGAATCAATAATGATGAATCTTTACTTCCCTGTTGGTTGTAACACTATTTCTTCGGGTAATTCGCAATCAATATTACAAACACGATCAGTTCTTTAATCATCTGAGACGCTCCTCAGTGTCTTTGTTTTTATATATATCCCCGAATGTACCCTCCGGTAGTAAAATGCCTTACTAGGAAAGATCCGTGTTCAAATTTTGCGATATAGACTGAGATGACAAAGACCGCAATTTTATCTTGAATATCACATCTGAGAGTAGGTTTTAGGGTTTTAGGGCCATCACACTAAACATTGTGCAGCAAAAATAGTGCTTCTTTGCCAATTGAAGTAAATGTTAATGTCATAGTCATCCCAGTTTTCCCCTTAGACAAAACTGTCAAAATCTTCTCCAAACATTAAATAGTGACACCATTCCGAATAGCCGAGATCGGACGCAAACTAACGCAGAGGTATAAAGTAGTATAAGCCACCTTAGCCCTTCCACTCCCAAGATCTATTTAGCAATTCTCCTTACTGTCTGTCGTACAATTCTTATGATGATATTTCGGAGAATTTTTTATGGGATCAATAATCCCTTGATTGGTATTTTTCTGTATTCTTATCACTCTTCTGATCGATATTGTAAGGAGAAATTCTGTCTTGGTCAGTTCTGGGAGTTGAACAGTTGAAAGGTAACTCTCCATTTGTAAACGTCGTAATACCTTCAACGCGTCTTGGTTATTTTCGGTTTCTTGGCTGCCATGGTAACCATGGTTTCCTTGTCCTCCCTCAGGGGGTATGGTGAATGGATATATCGGCGGTGCCGGGCTGGACCTTCCTTGACCTGATGTTTATAGGTTTTTAAAGTTAATATACGACCATTTAAGGTTATCATTCGTATGTCTGTCAACACGTTAGTGAGCGGTAGTTCTGATAGGATAGTTTGGGACTTTCCTCGGCCTGCTTTACATAGGTTTTGATACTCAATATACGGTTTATTGAGGTTATTGTTCGTATCTGTGCGAACAGGTTAGTCATTGCCAACTCTGACATGGCATTTCAAGGAGCTTGTTAACAGTGATAGATCTGTGAGGTGCGTTGAATAATCTTAACGGTTTTAATTTTCTTTACTTACTATTGAGTGTACAATTCAAATGAACAATTTCGTTTTCTGGACAGCTTTGCATCAGCGTTAAATGATCAGAGCACTGGAGACAGCTAAATGCAACTTGATTGAATGGGTTTTCAAGATAAAGCTTAAAAGTTTTCGTGGACCCAACTTTTCCTTTAAATCATGCTCATTCAAAAACGCTAAGCGTTAAAAGTCAAAATATGATGAATCATTAAATCAGTGGCGTCAGCATTATCTTTGCCGTAAGGCTAGCTGATTTCTGCTAAGTTCTTTGTTGAGGAAATAATTTTTTCCTTACCTGGGCTTGAAAATGAATTAACGTCACTTCCAGTATAACTGGAGGTCTCCGTTGATACCAGGTCGTTGTGGTTGAGTGGCGGTAGTTGTGGATGATTTAATGGCGGGAGAAGAGCCTCATTCTCATGACTCAAAGGGTATGCATGCTCTAGAGGGGGAGACTGGGGAGGTTTACCAACGTAGCTCTGTATCATTTCACCTGGGTTAAGATATGGGTTAAGATATTGTTGGTTAGGTACATTAAAGTCATTATTGTACGGAGGTTGACTAGTTAATGGATTACCGTCATCAAATTCAGTACTGTTTCTTTGTTGATTATTAAAGCGGAGATTCTGTGGTTGGGATAGTCCATTGTTGATCGGTTTACTTACTACTTGATTATATCTTAGGCTCTGAGTTTGCAGATTTATATTTGACCTCAAATCGTTAGCTATTTGATTAGGCAACAGACGCTGTCTCTGGAACTCGTCATTAGCATTAGACTGAATTACATTTGGTACATAGGGTTTGAACAGTCTGTGAGGCGTTACCGAACCTGCGTTATAACTATTAATCATTTGATTACTTCCCATGGTAGAAGTCTGGGAAATGTCGCTTTTTTTAAGTTGATCATTTTGGGAATTTCTACCGTCAGTTGGTTTGTTTGACATATGGTTATCAGACTGGGCCGTGAAAGGGTTAAAAAGTTGCCCATTTTCGACCACTTGAAAGTTGGAAGGACCAGAACTAAAAGCTCCTTCTTGGAAAGGCTTGCGGTTTTCAAAGTTGTACCGGTGTGATGGTGGTCGAGCTGTTGGGTCGTTTTCCCTGGTCTGAGCGAGAGCATCCTCTAGGCCCTTCTCTAGTCTTCCTAAAGAATCCACAATGTCGGCTTTCTGTTTCTCTATTTCTTGCCTTAGTTGTGTTTTGTTTCGATTGCTTTCCGAAACAACTTTATTTTTTGTGTTAGGTGTTTCAGCATTGTTGATTCCAGGTAGCAAATTCCTCGTGTTCGCGTTATTAAGCCAGTTCATCGGTACATTTGAGCCCGAATCTCGTGTGGCATTCGTCTGCCATATGCGGAGAAAGCTTGAGAGTGGGTCTCTTCTTGCTCCTATTATCAACGACAAAGCTCTATATTTAACTTAACTTAACTTGATTTCCACTATTGATTTCCACTATTGCTCAAATAGTGCTTTACTGCGAAGGATCGTTCTTATATACGTTAACTTAACTTCTTATTGAAAAAATTGGCCTTTGCTTCAGTTAAGTGATTTTAGCAAAGCCTGTCTTTTTCTATCATCAGATTCCGAATTTTTATATCATCAAATTCCGAATTTTTATATTTTATCGCCCCTTGCCTAATGTAATTTGTTGCTTCTTCCAAGAACAGCAATATGTTACCCGAGTTTTGAAGATTGATTGCAGAATTCATGAATCAACCTCGACTTTAAGCTATTTTTTAAGTAGGTATTGAACTTCTCGAAAGGATAAAGCTAGAAATGGCGACAACCTACAGCTGAACTATAGAAATCAGACGTCAAATCACTGGCAGACAAGACGTTGATACCTGATGATGCTGGGATTCCAAACTTTGGTGCAGTAGTCGAAGTCGCTCTACCTTGAGAAATTAGATCCGCACGCAAAAGGCTTTGAAGCTCCTTTTGATCGTCATACGTAGATGGAACCCAACCTTTAGACTGAGCATTTTCTTGCCATGTGGAAAAGGGCAATCCGTTCATATTAACTGGTTCGCCAACAGATTGGTTGTTGATGTCAAAAGGAGCTTGATCTATAATTTCCTTCCCTTGAACAACAGGTTCCATTATGTTGTTGTAATTCTTGATTAAATTTTCTTCTCCACCTTTTGGTATTGATTGGTTTGAGGGTTTTTGGGATACGGGGTGGATCCCAGCGCCGGCTTTATAAGTTTTTGGCATTACGAAAGAACCTCTTCCCTCCCCTTTAAAGTCTAAGGGAAATTTTTCATAAGCTAGCTTACCATTGTCACTCGTAGGTGCAGCGTTTTCAACCTGCGATGTGAAGGCAGATAAAGCGTCAACAGTTTGTGAAGACTGCTTTTCGAAACTAGCACTTGGAGTGTGTTTAGCCTGCTCTATGCCATGCATCAAAGGTGGCAATACGGCTGCCTCATCATTGCCACGATTCAATGGTGGCAGACTGCTAAAACTCTGTAAAGCGTCATTCCCGTGATTGAGTGGTGGGAGGTTGCCTGCTTGTTCAACACCGTGCAAAAGGGGTGGTAAACTCGCGGCGTGTTCTTCTGCATGGTTCAGTGGGGGTAGGCTTGAAGCTGTTTCCACGTTATGATTGAGGGGAGGTAAGGCGGGTGCCACTCCATTTCCATGGCTCAATGGGGGTAAGTTTCCAGAGCTTGGAGCAGAAATCTTCCCTTTGGTAGTTCCTTTCTCCGCACCTGGAGAAATGTCTGCAAAATTAATAATTGAAGTAAGGAGGAAACTCTTGTAGCCAAAGTTCCATTATCCATATTTCCTATCTTTTGCGTTTGCAGTCTTACAAGATAGCTGCAGTAAAGTTAATAATAATCCATAATTTCTTAACCTGAGCAAGAACACAATGCAGGGGGTGAACGCACTGTGACCTTCAATATGTCCTTACCGGTCGTTTTGGAAACTTGATCTCTAGAGGCCCCTGGATCAGCAATCCCATCGTCTGTATTTTCAGATTCGGGGATTTTCCCCGAAATTTGTACTTCTGGATTGAAGAACTTATCCATTGGATCATCGCTTGGGGTTTCATCGGGATTATCCGAAGACGTGGTAATTTTTGAATTGAGGGATCCAAAAAGAGGATCTGCTGAATGCTGATCTTGATTTAATATGGAGGGACCTGTGAAAGCCTCGTTGATGGAAGCTGCTGCATTTTCAGTGCTGTCCACAGATTTTTCATTGTTGTCGTCAGTTGGTAAGCTGTTGGCTGTTGTAGAAAAAAAAATGGTCAACAAAAAATTTCAAGAACAGGTGTAAGGGAAGAAAATAAGGGTAGATAAAGAAGACTCTATTTTGTCATATCAACATCTGGTTGATACGCTCACGTCTGACTCTTCCCGGGTAATAGGTTCAGTGAAAGTTGTTTGGGCAAGAGATGGAACCATAAAAATCTTTTATGAGATTTTATATTACCTGGTGACAGATCCGAGCGGGATCCACCTGGAGTCACCGTGACCTGTGCTGGTTCAGGGAGTGGCTCATTAGTTGGAGCACTCTGACTGTTGGCCTCTGTAATGATAGAAACACACAATTAATATCGTTATTGATTGGAAAAGCCTGTTGCATCAAGTAAAATTACTTAGATCTTTGATCTTCGTTATGTTTAAATATTTGAATTCTAATTTAAATATTTGAATTCTATTAGAGGGCCACAGGTTTGTCAGCTTTTCAGCTGTTACGTGTCCCCCTCTATAAATAAAGTCCTTACTTACTTACTATAACCAAAATTACTTAGATCCCGTGACTGAGTGGTGGGAGGTTGCTCGCTTGTTCAACACCATGCAAATAGAATGGTAAGTTCGCGGCGTGTTCATATCTAAACATATCAATTCGAACGGTAACAAATTCGATATGAGGAGATGTTTGTTCGAATTTTTATAGAGGAGACTATTTTTGCTGCCTGCATTCTTTATTTAGTTGAATTTGGGTGTTTCTGTGATTTTTCATGCACGGTCGAATGAACGCTTTGCTTTAGTCAAGAATTAAGTAGTAAATGGCATTTACGTATATCATTGAAAGACTGATTTCTTTGCGGATTGTTACCTGGCAATAGGTCAGAGCGCGACACTCCTTGAGACATCTGTGCTAGTTGTGGAACTGCGGGGTTATTGGCTACCTGACTGGCGAACATGTCCACAGCACCAGCTGAGGGAATACTGTTCTTGTTGATTTCTAGATTACAGAGAATACAAAATTTAACACCTGTGAGACTTAAAGACTTATATTTGATATTTGAGTGGATGAGTAAAAAATTGAATGTGAATTGAGCAAGAAACGGTTGAATGAGAAAGTTCCAACCACTTTTTAGCGCCATCTCCTTACCTATTAAGACTGATTTTCTCATGAACGATTGCGCGATCGGAAGAATATCTAATTGGCTAACAGACCAACTGGCTGACTGAGCGAGCAATTGCCTGCAGGATGGCTACTGAATAACTGCCCGACAGCATGAAGATTTATTCGGTAACTAAAGGACTGACTGATTAACTGATTTACAGTATTGATAAACTAGCTGACTGATTTACTGACTGACTTAATGACAACTATAATGACTCACTGGCGGACTTAGTGACTTACCTACAACCTGGAGTGCTGACTACCTGGCGTTCACTCTGACTACCTAACCGACATACTGACTGACTGGCGGGCCACTTGACTGATTGAACGACGAACTTACTGATTGAGTAACTCACCGACTGACTTACTCACTGACAAACTGACAGAGCGAATGGCAAACTAACCATCCTAATGATTAACACAATACATCACTGACCAAAGTAACTGACTGTCCACAAGCTGTTTAATCAAAAGCTGAATTACTGACTGGATGACTAACTGCCTGAATTAATGCCTGTATAACATCATCATTTCACAGGTGTAAGTTTGTGAATGACCACCGTGAGTAAATGAATCAGATGTTTGACGCCAACCAAGGACGCGTTGCATATGAGAATGAGAAATAAAAACGATGAAGTTAAATGTTAGTGCTGATGAAAAACTTGTGGCATCAAGACGTGATCAGTGAATACAAGAGATGTGGCAAAAGGAAAAAAAAAGGTTATCCCATTGATGGTAAAATATTTGCACATTGACAAATTTACGACGTCGCGATCGTGATACGAGTGTACAATGTAAAGAAATAACTAGGGGGTGTCATGAACTGTCGTAGTTTTGAAAGTCGTCAACGTGTCCAAGATCGTAACTGATGTCAAAATTAATTTGTCTTGCTGACTCGTCACGTTTAAAACTTCATGATCAAAAATAAGCAACTAGAAGGTTCACTTGTTCACATTGTGAAAGTAGGTAGGCTGCTTCAAGTATTTTTCCACGGGATAAGAGGAAATTCTAGTTGCTTTTCGTTTAACTCTCAAGTTGTTAGAGTATTGTCGATGTGAGGAAACGTCCCGGTCTTTTCCAGCAACTCGGAGAGAATTTTCGCTTCTGTTATTCTGTGAAAAATCAATTTAAAAGTTTCGTCGGTAAGGTTGACATTTGGGTTACGTGTAATTGCGATGTTAAAACGTTCAAAACCATCATCATTGATTAGGTAACGCCTTGTGCAAAAAGAAGTGAAAATTCTCTTCGAGTGCTGGTCTGTCTGTGCGTCGGCATGCCCTAACCTTCTTGCACCTGTTTATACAGTTCGTCCTTCTTCTGAACCATGCCTGGAACCATCTTGCGAAGAGTCAATGGAAAAGAACCTGGGACGGGTGCATGATGAGAAACCGCCACCCCTAGACGATTTCCCGAACGGCCTTGCGGGATGGAGTTTTTAAAATCAGCGGAAGAAGTGTTGGCTTGCTGTGGCATGAGACGTGCAAGCAAACCTAATCCAGAGGGTAAGTGAGGAGCATCGTGCATCAAACATTAAACAGCGTTATCAAAATAATCTCCACTATCAAATTACTTGTTATTTATATCAATTTACTATTACGTGGTTAGTCTTTACACCTATTTATTCCAAGAAATTAAACAACTGGACAGAGCAAGGGATACGGAAAAAGGGAAAAAGGAAGGGTAAGAAAACTCTGCTACAGCACTTCGAGGTTTCTTAGAATTGGTCAGATTTCTGATGAAACAAACAAATTCACAATCGGAAAAATCTGTTCAAAGTAGTCCATTTTTTTCTTGGGCTTGGGGTTGAAAAAGTTGTATGTTTAAGTGTTATTTTGTAAGTAACCTTGACTTAAGAAAAAATAGCAGCAGAATAAATGCGATATTTCACGTGATAGAGTTCGTTTTCTTTACTTAATTTCGTTTAGCTAATATTTCAAATTCAAGGTAAAAGGAAAATAAGATATAGCTCGTTTAACCCAGGTCGATATGTTCTTTCCATCCAACCAGGAATGATCTCACAATTTCTTTTTTTCAAATAAAGGAGAAGCATACTTCAGAACCGAACTGACTCCAACACTGTCATTAAAAGCAGGCATAAAATTTTGACACTATCAACGTTTTAAGATTTCAAAGAATATTCAATCGTTTCGAATGTTGTCTTTCAATATGCGAAGGGTTCAACCACGGACACCGCCATTCTGAATTTGGCCAAGCAACCTGGCCCCGGATGGTCGATGGGTACAAAACGCTATCCACTGCTTAAACCTATATCCGGTGGATAGCGCAATAATTATTCTTGACACTTATCCGCTGGATAGCGTTTTATCCGTTGGATAGCGGTATCCGCCCTTTTAACAACCGGGGCCTGGCTGTTCACATGTCACGTGACAAACTCACGCTCCTCTTGTACCACGTCTTGGTAATTCCTTAAATAATAAGAATGCTTATTTATTTATTTATTTATTTATAAATAAATAAATAAATAAATAAATAAATAAGCATTCTTGACTCAAACAATGACTTTTCTACGATAATCAAAGCGGGAGCTGTGAATCAATGAGTCGATTGGTTTTTTCCAAAACTGTTTTTTCCACGGTCGAATTTTAGAAAATTTGAAAACAATTTTTCGAACAGCTAGGTTACAAATCGGAATCTCATATCTTTCGGTACATGTTTTAATGAGAGGGATATAAATTATAAGGATTCTGGATCATACTTTCCCTCCTTAGGCTCCAAAACACGTCTCTATTCTGCTTTTCCTAGGACAAAGTTGGTCTTAACAGCTAAGTTAAGACTGATACAACGAATATATGAAGTTCATATATTTTGAATTGCGGTATTAAATACGTATGATGCACGATCCTTCGCAGTAGACAGCGCTATTTATGCAATAGCGAAAATCAGACCTGAAAAAAATCAGGCCTGTACGGGATTCGAACCACTGACCTCTGCGATACTAGTGCAGCGCTCTACCAATTGAGCTAACAAGCCAACTGGGAGCAGGCCGTTAAGTTGATTCGTAATAAACCCGTGATGATAAATCAGATACAATGAATATATGAAGTTCATATATTTTGAACTGCGGTATTAAATACGTATGATGCACGATCCTGCGAAGGATCGTGCATCATACATAAACTGTACTGGTAAGTATTCTAAGCATGAAAGCCAAAACACTTCAGCCAGCACAATTAAAAAAAACCTTGGTATACCAATGATAGTTATTTTGTTGTCTCAGACACACATGAGTGTTTGAATGGAACAAACGGATGTGATATAAATACTGAGTGTAAAAATACCCTGGGATCTTACAACTGCGCGTGTAAAGATGGATTTCAAGGAAATGGAACTAACTGCACAGGTAACATGTCATCTCATTTTCTCTCCATCAGAAGCAGAAATAACACAACTGAATTTG